CTAAATCAGCAAAAAGTCACTCTGACGGCCAACCATTGAGGAAAATTACCTGAGCAAAAAGTAGTGGCAAAACGACATAATAAACTCATAGAAAAACTATTAGAGTAATTTTAAAGCGGGAAGATTTTATGAAACGTTTCAAACGTTTTGTGGAAAATTTATGAAGTTTTAGAAAAGAGAGCTTTGATAAAACAAAATAATCGACATCACATAAGGAATTCGAACTCACACAAATATTAAAAACAAATTAGTAGTTTTAAAACAGTTAGCAATATATCATTAGAAACAGTTGAGTGATTTTTTTGATGAAAGTTTATTTTTTAAGACCACTTTATGAATTCATACTATTATAAAAATTACTAAAACGTTTTAAATGGTCGTTTCTTTAGTTTTTTATTTTTTTGGTGAAAATTTTATATAATTTCTTGTAAAATGTATTAACCTTTAAAAGCTGAGATATGAATGGGGAAAAACTAACATTCTGCTTCTAACAAACATTATAAAGTCACACACACGATATTGAAAAAAAAAACTTTAATAGACAATTAGCATTATCTCATTAGAAATAGTTTAGTGATCTATTGATAAAAATATCTTTCAGTGTGGAACAATCCTACTTATTAAATAAACCGGGAGTGATCTCCCCTAAACTTTCTCGAATATTCTTATATAAAACAACAGGGGATGAGTACTCCATTTTAAATAGGCCTACTTAAAGTTTTTAAAATAGAATAAAATCTCGTAGAAAAAAGAATTGCACACCAAGTGAACGCCAAATGAAATGTGCATAATAATGCGCAATAGTATTAGTACTTTATAAATTTACATGCGTTTTTTTTGAGAAATCGGAAATAGCGTAAATTAGTACTTTCGGTCAACGGAAATTACTCAAAATTTCACAGAAGGTAGACAATTAGATCTTTTACTTACATGGGAAATTAAATGTATCTATCTGAAATAATACTCAAGTTATAGGCTTTTGAAAAATTCAAAGTAGAAAAAGTACCACTTCCGGTAATCAGAAATCGCCCAAAAGCTGAAACGGATCTACTATTTTGATAAAATACTTATATATGAAATTTCATCAACCTAGCTGTAACGGTACTCAAGTTATCGTGTTTACACACAGACAGACAGACAGACACACACACACACTGACATACGGACAAGATTGCGTAATTATTTTTTTCCGTATCAGTGAGGTGTAAAACGTCGAGATTTGTAAAAATCTCGTTTTTTTTTTTGCACGATTATAAGACTTTCTCTATACTTCGTATATACGAGAAAGTAAAAATGTATCAATCGTTTAACCTTAAGTAGCTTACATAGATCTCGCTTTACTTCCTGTTCTGTTTCGTGTTATTTAAGTAGAAAACAAATCAATACTAGTTAGCTTAAGGCAGTGATGATGTTCATTAACAATTTCAGCTGTAGAACTGGTGGTGTGTTTACAATAGCATTTGATTCGACTGTTTGAAGGTTTAGATTAAGCGAAAATCGATGAATATGTTGTTCAGGGTAAGCCTATCTGGAAAATGGCAGAGTTTTAAAATTAAAATGTATTGATTTTAAATGTATTTATAAAAAATCTAATATGAACGATTACATATTAACTATCATAGCATTTTGAAACGTTCACTTCAAGTTTTCTTTATTTAGTTTCGTACTTCTTCAAAATATTTTGAAACTATTTTAGAAAGATGATTTAGCTGTTGTTTATTTTACTACTTTATTCTCTGCGTCGCCAACCAAAAGTGAAAAAAAAAATTACTGAAAAGCGATGTAAAGTGCAGGAATTTTAACGTGATTGTCAAATTTTCATCGATATAACTGTACTTATTAAACGTTTGTTTAAATAGCCTGCAGTAGGGCTTAAAAATTAATACACCGTTTATCTCTTGCTAAAGGATAGCAGCACTTTTATAGCATTACTAAGCCTGTCACAAGAGAATTCTACAATAGAAATGAGATCGATATTCGTTTATTGTTTTCTGGATTATTTTTTTTACCGTACGGGGAGGCAACGCAGTTACCTACTTCTGTTGTTTGCCAGCTTTGTCTGTTATCCCCAAATTTGATTGGCTGTCGTCATTCGTTCTCTACTGTTGATCGCCAGGTACCTTTGGTCGTTCTTTCTTTCACTTAATACCTGGTGCCCCAAAAAATGTTATCATTGTTAGTAAGGTGATCACTCTTTCTAAACACATGGAAAATTCAAATATATTTATTTAATTGATTTGATTTCTGTGTTGTCTCTGCTTGATTTTCTATGGAGATAATTATTTTTTGTGTGCGGCCAGTATAAAATAAAATTCTTCGCATGTTGAAACGAACATTTAACAAGTTAAATAATATTTTCGAGCCTGGTGGATTTAAATGAGTGGTGAAGTAATCACTAACATTTAATCGCTATAAGTATAAAAAAAACTAACCGATCAATTTCACCTACATATACTAAAATACTAGCCATAGCCTAAACTTCCAAAGGGTGTTATTAAAAATTGTTTCGAAATTATGTTTTTAAAAAAATATTTTAAGAACATGCCAGATATTTCAATATATTGGATTATACGGACTACTGCACAAGTTTCACGATAAAAAGCCCCACAAAAACCTGCATAGATACCCACAGAAAAATATCAAAGAATGTCCAAAATGCAACTATATTTTATTTAATAAAATATAATCCCTCCCCCCCCCCCAAAAAAAAACAAAAAAAAACACACCCACTACACTTAAAAGTAAACAAAAATTACCCAAATGAAGCTCCCCTCAGTTAAACACACAAACTTAAAAATACATTCCAAAAACATGCATATTACAAACAAGCATACCACAAACAAGCATACAACGTAACGTTAGCAAAAACAAATCTTTCAAGATCGAGTTTTTAAAACTGACATTTCAAGCGATATTGCAAAAGCGATTAACTGTATCGCACTTCTAGTTCGAACTTGATATAAACTTGATTAAAATTTTCTCATTTTAACCATCGGGCTTTCAACTCGACACCGTTTGATGCAGAAACTATTCTTTTGGGATTTGGTCCATTCCAGCTTTTTTACTTTCTCGTATATACGTAGTATAGAGAAAGTATTGTAATCGTGCAAAAAAAAAAATCGAGATTTTTACAAATCTCGACGTTTTACACCTCACTGATACGGAAAAACATAATTTTGCAATCTTGTCCGTATGTCTGTGTGTGTGTGTGTGTCTGTCCGTGTGTGTGTCCGTGTGTAAACACGATAACTTGAGTACCGTTACAGCTAGGTTGATGAAATTTCATATATAAGTATTTTATCAAAATCGTAGATCCGTATCAACTTTTGAGCGATTTCCGATAACCGGAAGTGGTACTTTTCCTACTTTGAATTTTTTAAAAGCCTATAACTTGAGTACTATTTCAGATAGATAAATGAAATTTCACATGTAAGTAAAAGATCTAATTTTCTACCTTCTGTTAAATTTTGAGTAATTTCCGTTGACTGGAAGTAGTTTATTTACGCTACTTCCGATTTCTCAAAAAACTAATGTAAATTTTAAAAGTACTAATAATATTGCGCACTATTATGCGCTTTTTTTATTTGCGTTCACTTGGTGTGCAATTAATTTGTCTACGAGATTTTATTCTATTTTTAAAACTTTAAGTATTTAAAATGGATTAAAAATCATGTCTATAGCCCGAGTTTCCATCCCGTTATTTTATATAAGAATATTCGAGAAAGTTTAGGGGAGATCACTCCCGGTTTATTTAAAATCTAGATTTTAGACGGAAGATAGCAGTTTAATTGAACTTTAGGATAAATAAGGCAACGAAAATGTAGTTTTGACTTCTTATTTTTTTAAAACGCTTTTTAAAATTCAATTTGCCAAAAAACAAAATAAATTTAAATTTAAAAAAAACAACGTATTTGATCTGAAATTTTTCGATTACATCATTAGATTTTAAAACTAAGGTTGGTTACTGTATTTGAAAAGGGGTGGGCGTGAATACGAGGAAGGAGATTAAGTGGGAGATTGAAGCTTACTCTTTGGATTTAACTTCAATTCACTTTAGTCTGGCAGCATCGAATTAATCGTTTCTTTTAGGAAACCGTTCAACCGTGACAGAAAAATATCGATTGGGTTATTTTTAAAAAATATATATCGAGTGGACCAAGGCTGGTCTTTTTACCTGAAGTATTGAACATCATTTTTATAAAAGCTGTTTTAGATAAGTTTTTCGAAATGTTGTACGAGAAAATTTTTATGGTGACAGTTATGTGTCAGGTAGGCCATGCTCCTGAACAAATGGCTGCCAGTCGATTCATGTACGACAGTCTGTTGACTGTGAATGACAGCCTGTTGTCTCTTGAAAGACGACCTGTGTGAGACAGCCTGTTGTCTGTGTTAGACGACCTGTTTGACAGTCTGTTGTCTCGTGTAAGACAGTCTGTTGTCTGTGTTAGACGACCTGTGCAAGACTAGTCTCATGTAAGACAGTAGGTTGTCTCGTGTATGACTACCTGTGTAAGACAGCCTGTTGTCTGTGTAAGTAAGCATGTCTGAAAGCCTGCTGTCTCATGTAAGATGGCCTGTGTAGGACAGCTTGTTGTCTCGTGTATGACAGCTACCCCTCCCACCTCAGGTATGACAGTTACCACATCTACCCCATGTATGACAGTTACCCCATCTACCCCATGTAGTTACCACATCTACCCCATGTATGACAGTTACCCCACCCACCCCATGTATAACAGTTACCACATCTACCCCATGTATGACAGTTACCACATCTACCCCATGTTTGATAGTTACCACATCTACCCCATGTATGACAGTTACCCCATCTACCCCATGTATGACAGTTACCACATCTACCTCATGTAAGACAGTGACCACATCTACCCCATGTATGACAGTTACCCCATCTACCCCATGTAGTTACCACATCTACCCCATGTATGACAGTTACCACCTACCCCATGTATGAGTTACCCCATCTACCCCATGTATTACAGGACCAGCTGGACACTGCCTTCGATGCTGGTGGTAACGTCAACGCCGGTCTCACGGCCACTACCATCGTCTCACAGTGGACATGGGCGGCAACTCTACTGCAGTCTTCCACAGTCACAGCTAAGGTGGGTTATTGTACCTGGTGTTGGTGCACATGGTGTTGGTGTATCTGATGTTGGTGCACATGGTGTTGGTGTATCTGATGTTGGTGCACATGGTGTTGGTGTATCTAATGTTGTTGCACCTGATGTTGGTGTATCTGATGTTGGTGCACAAGGTGTTGGTGTTCCTGATGTTGGTGCACAAGGTGTTGGTGTATCTGATGTTGGTGCACAAGGTGTTGGTGTATCTGATGTTGGTGCACATGGTGTTGGTGTATCTGATGTTGGTGGACAAGGTGTTGGTGTTCCTGATGTTGGTGCACAAGGTGTTGGTGTTCCTGATGTTGGTGCACAAGGTGTTGGTGTTCCTGATGTTGGTGCACAAGGTGTTGGTGTTCCTGATGTTGGTGCACAAGGTGTTGGTGTTCCTGATGTTGGTGCACATGGTGTTGGTGTATCTGATGTTGATACACATGGTGTTGGTGCATCTGATGTTGGTGCACATGGTGTTGGTGCATCTGATTTTGGTACACCTGGTTTGGTGCGTCTGATTTTGGTGCACCTGTTTGGTGCGTCTGATTTTACTGCACCTAGTTTTAGTTACTTAGTTTTTGTTATACGTGTTTTAGCGACACCTAAAGTAGTTTGTTGCACTTTTTTGATTGCATAAAAAAGCAAATATCTGAGTTAAATATAGGACAAATATCTGACAAAAGCAGGGGTCAAGAATCTGAATTAAGAATGTGGCGAGGTTGACTTAATTATGGGACATCTGACTAAAATTATTGGTTTAAATATGTAACTAAAGCTGAAGAGGTTTGAATAAGGCATTCACCAATGAAAGTTGTCACTAAAAACCTCTAGAGCCCACTTGATTACATTATCGATCTTCTTTGGTCAAGTCACTTCTACTAATATACTTAATCTACTCCCGTCTCACGTGACTTTGTAGCTAAACAACAGGCCATTAATTTCGTTCCTTCCTAGAATTATGTTTTCAGAAACGGAAGCAATGAATGTAGCTTTTAACAACTGAACCGTTCCTTAAAAGGTTTTACTATCCAGAGATCCTTCGATTAATATTGAATAAAGCGCAACGCGAATCTAATGTTTAGTTAAAGAAATAAAATCGCTCAGAAATAGGGGTATTCAAAAGCAACGTTCTTACTCTTTAAAGCACTGAACGAAACCTAAACTTTGAATTAGCAGGAGAACTTCAACTTTAAGCAAAATGAAAAACATGTTTGAAAAAGCTTCTTCCTCATCGGAAACAAACAGCGATAGATACATACATAGTAAGTGCAGTTACATGCTGAAGAAACAGAGAAATAGTTGGGTACAAAAGTTGATTTGGAGAAAAGCTCTACTGACAAGACCTAGGGCTACTAAGCTCATAGTGGCATTGTGTGGTATTTATGTTATTGGGAGCTTACATAAAAACAATTCTAAGTCCGTCGACGTACGGCTACGCTGGGTATTATTTATGTATGTCAGTGCCAGCACAACATGACATGCTTGACGAATTGGCATCGGGCGACCTAAGAAAATGTCTTAGTTCTGAGATTTAATTTCATAGTCTCCTTCAGGCTGTTTGAGATTTTTAGAAGAAAATCATAAGAAATTCTGGAAAAAAATAGTTTTAACCGACTTTAAACATCTTATGCTGATAACATTGTGCATTGACATTTTTTTCATGTAAATACTTGAAGCACTTTGATGACCTGTTTGTACCGATGGTATAGTTAAAATGAGATTTGAAAGCAATGCTGCTAGTTAATCGAAGCGTTTTCTGGCTAAATAATGTGTATCAATGATAAAAACAGATGACATAATCGAAGCATTTTCTAGTTAAATAATATGCTTAAAAAAGAAACAGGTGATATTGGAAGCATTTTCTGGTTAAAGAATATGTTTAAAAGATAAAAACAGTTGAAATAATCGACGCAATTTCTGGCTAAATAAAATGAATAAAAAAAGACATAACGGAACAATTTCTGGGAAAATAAAATGAAACAAATTTGTATACTAGCTCCGGTATCTTTTAATGATAGAGTTTACGCTAAATATTTTCTTTACCAATTATTGCATGTTTATTTTTACTTACGAAGGTTTATTTTATTTGTTTGTTTTTTAAATCAAATTTTGTATGGTATAATTAGATCTCAACACGTGACAATCAATCAAATGGGTATCCTCGTTATCAGGGTTTTTATGAAAGTTTTATGAGATAGTTATGATTCTAAATCTATATAAAATATGATATTAGTTGATATTGACACTTGAACAATTAATTAAATACTTATCTCCTTATCACCGGACCCTTATGGAAGTTGTAAGAAGGTTATTACTGGATCTTAACATCACACTTCTACCTACCTAATGAAATTTTAATATGATTATTGGCTTATAAGTTGTGTCTAATTATATTTCCAGTATGGCATTAGTGGATCATTTTGGTACGCCGCAGGTGCAACAGTTCAGGTGAGTACGTATTTTACACATTTGTACAAGTATATTGTGTACATTCGTACAAGTGTATTGTATACATTTTATAAATGTATTGTAAACATTTGTACATGTGTATTGTATATATTATTATAAGTATATTTTAAGTATACATATAAGTATACATGTGTACACGTTTATTTGATAGATTTGTACAAGTGTTTGGATTACATGAAAATGTAATAGACAATTTGTCTTCAACAAGCAATGTAACATGACTGTTCCTGTTAGATCGTATGGTAAAAAAACGAAGTCTTACGTTAAGATGGGATAGTTTTTGATTCTCCCAATATACAGACAGGTACCCATCTGATGTGAGAAGACTGAATGATGTCCCATAGCCTGTATATCAAAGAGTTTTAAAACGTCTTTTTTTAATAGCAACCACAACTTTCACATTTTTTTTTGTGATGTTGATTACAAACTATTCAAATACACAGAAATATTACTATAACATAGCTTTTAATACGCTAAAATTACAAATAAAATACCAATAATAAATACAGCTCTTTTGACTCCCAAATGTCATCAAGAAAAATCAGTTACAAGATTTTTTTAAAGTCTTGAGCAACCTAAATATCTACAAGATGGTCAGTCAAAATACTTAAATTTTCCAACACAAAATAATCAAAATACCATTTACTCTCTACACAAATCAATGACAATATCTGACCATCACCACGCTGCATAATAAAACATCTCACACTCCCACACAAAAAAAGAAATATCTAACCATCATTACATCAAATTATCAACCTTTCTGACCATTGTAATACCAACAAATTACTTAACTATTCTACCAAAAATAGTTAAAATATCTGCAGCATAAAAGTTGGAGTGCATAGTAGTAATGGGTTAGTTGGTAGCGGTTAGGGCGAGGTCTACTCTGTTATGTGAAAGATTGAGTCCAAATAAAAGTATTAAAGATAACCACGAATCGTTTTCTAAGTTGAACCAAACCCGGACGCAACACACAACACACTGTGTAACACCCACTTCAACAAAGCTTTCTGATCATAACGATAAACACATCTCAGCGTTTACGTGTAAGTCCTTAAAAAAATACAAAAAGAAAACACCACTTATCGGAGTAATGAAATATTGATTAGAAAAGACATGTTTTTAGCCTTCGGTTCTCTACACACTGTATGCAAAAAAAGATGAGAATAAAGATGAGTTTTTATTCTTAAAATAGATGCAATCATACACTTGGCTATAAATGTTTGTTTTCTTTAAAAAATTAATTGCAAATTGATTTCGGTGACAAAACACTAAATGGAAATATAATAAAGTATGAGGGTATGTATGGAGAGAGAAAAAACGTATATGTGCACATAGTTACGAGAAAATACGCATACGGAATTAAAACCACTTTATTCAACTATTTTTTTTTATTTCTGTAATATAAAAGACCCTGTATATGACTAATTCGTAAGTGACCAGTTATCCAAGGTCACCGTAAGTAGGTCAAAGACGCGGTGAACCATGACTGCCATTAGAGCTAAATGATAAAAGATAACTTTCTATTACCATGACAACTAAAGAATTGCTGTGTTGTATCTCGTGTAGAAATTACTCTCCATCTCATTCAGGAGGTACCGTTTGTGACAGACGAAGGAGGGGGGGGGGGGGGGGGGGGGGAAGGGGAGTGAGGTGGGGACGGAGTTGGAGGTAAGCCTCACAAAGATTAATACATCCTGCACGATTTGAACTCCGATCCTTCAGTTACACACTGTTCCAGTTAAAGTACCGACTGACAACTCAATATGCTAATCCCAACTCCAACTACATGTATCAATCGACTACCCTACTTTACAATCACAATCATAAATATAATTCACCTTACCATCCATAATCGCGTCCAAATCAATTTACCACACACAATCACTTACACACACCCATCAAACTATCCGATACCTTTGTTCCATCAATTGTTCAATAGAGAATACTATCTCCCGATCAACACTGACGTAAATCGATACCCACGTTTACACCCAGCCCAGCTCAATGTTTTCCAATCACATTAATTTAAATCAAATAAAACAAATGAATACGTCACGCTGAGAACCAACATCAGTTTCACATGGAAATCACACTTTAGGTGAGCTTGCGGAGAAGTACACAGCAGGTGATCACGTGATGTTTACAATAAGAGATTATGAGAAGTATACAGACAATCACGTGATGTTTACAATCAGAGATTGTGAGAAATATATACAGGCAATCACGTGATGTTTACAATGAGAGATTGTGAGAAGTACTCATGCGATCACGTGATGTTTACAATCAGAAACAGGAAGCTTGTATCTATAACTGTGAGGGGTACATTAATAATGCAGCATTCTTTCTTTAACAGAATTTATCTCACAGGCCTTGAAACATTAACAGCAGATTTTCATCTTTCTTAGTTTTTTTTTTTTGCCATTTCTACATCAACAAAAATGAGTTATTATATGAAATGTTTTATAAGACTGTCTTTAAAAAAAATAGTAGTACAATATAAATAAAAATAAAATTAATTTTTCATTTTAGTTCTACCTCGTCGCTTAAACTCGCTAAATCAAAATAAAATATCACAAATAAAATATCACAACGTACACAGGCCACAAAACGTTAACCTAACATTAATACAAACAGCATTGTATTTTCTGGTCTATTGTATTTTCTGGTCCATTGTCAATAAAAAAAATGCACAGCTAAAAATAGCATTGATTACTTTTTTCCTTGTGCAGAAAAAACATGTTTTATAACCATGGGCACTAAAGACGGGAAGAATAGCAAGACGCCATCTTCAATTGATTAAAATAGCATCGTTTGTTCGTAGCGGGCATAAAATGAGCATTCCTTACATCGTCTTTTTTTCTGGTGGCGTAAAAATTAATTTAAAAAAATTAATATAAACAAGCGTTTATATAAGCACTAAAAAACTGGGGTGATCTTGACTTAACTTTTAAGTATATTATACAACATAAAGGGAATGGCACTTAAGGGCTGTATACATGTTTTTAAATTAATTAATTACATTTTTAGACAACTCTAGACCAGGGGTCGGCAACCTGCGGCTCGCGAGCCGCATGCGGCTCTTTTGATATCAAGATGCGGCTCTCCAGCTCCTTGACAAATACTAATAATCTTAATAAAAAAATAAAATATTTTAAAATAAAAAAATGTTAGTGGCTCTTTAAAACCAGGGAAATTTTGAAAATTGCAACTTTTGGCTCTTCCGCTTCAAAAGGTTGCCGACCCCTGCTCTAGACTGAAATTGTGTTTTTCCTCGTCAAATTTAATTTACGCCTGGGTATGAAGGAATGGGAATGGTAAAATGGAGATGTAATAAGGAATTATTACAGCACCGTTCCTATGGGCCTACATAATTTTTTCATTGAGGCTCCGAGTTTTTAGCGCAATTTCCATACTGGGATTGCGATTATTAACTCGTCATTTCTGGATGGATGTGTGGATGTGTGTCCGATGTGTGTCCGATGTGTGTCCGCAGCTTTAGCAGCTTTAAGTCGTATCTCCTCCTCAACGAAGCAATATCGAGGACTAGTTACAAAAACAAATATGTTAAGCAAGTTCCGACGATGATAGTGGGCCAAAAAAAAAACGGAATTCCTTCCTGGATTTCCCGGAAAAGCCAAAAAAACCTCGAAAAAATGCAGTTTTTGGCCCATATCTCGGCAACCAGACCACTTAGCATTTACCAATCGATTCCTGTCATAATTTAGAACAATATTATTGCCGAAGAAAGTTTTCAAAAATATCCTTTCGTTCGGTCACAAATTTTTTTTAAAAATTACATAAACAACTACAAACCGATCGTTCTCCTAGCTTGAATGCACCCAGCATTATACGTCTTTGTGATCACTATCTATTTTTAGATGACATAAGGAAATTGCGCTTAAATTGTCACTAGACTTTTTATTAACTTGTTTTTCCTGTGAGCCTACTTGGATTTTTTCCTGGGCGCCCGCAGGGATTTTTCCCCGGAGACCGACGGCCAGTTGACCCATGATAAAGAGCATAGAGAAAGTATTGAAAGAGTGCTAAATAATTAACATATACATTGTTAACGTTCACCTTTTTACACTTCCAAAATATATCGTATTCCGAATATAAAGTATATTGTAACCGTGAGAAAATTTTAAATCTAAATTTTGACGTTAAAGGTGTCGCATCGAAAAAAATATTTCCTTTCTTAGTATCAGACTTGTATAACCAAGGCCTGCTCGTAGTCTGGCGTTTAGAGCCAGAGCCGATTTGGTGGTGTCAAAATATTTATACGTTTGGGTAAACAGAATGTGTATCTATTGGGAGGGGTGGGGATGGGAGAGGCGCCAAGAACTTTCAAATTCTGAAAGAGTTGCTATAGACATACAAAAAAGTGTCTAAAGACAGAGCGAATGTGTCTGAAGACACAGAAAAAATATATGAAGACACTTTGAGAATGTCTGAAGACACACACACACAAACTGTCTGCGGACACACCCATAAGATCTGAAGAAAGAGAGGAAATGTATGAAGACACTTCGAGAATGTCTAAAGACACACCCAAAGTGTCTACAGCCACACCGAGCATGTCTATAGACACACAAACACTGTCTGAAGACAACGACAGTGTTTAACAAAGAAAAACAGTCTGAAGACACACCCAAAGTGTCTACAGCCACACCGAGAATGCCTATAGACACGCCTAAACTGAAGACACCGACAATGTTTAACGAAGAAAAAAAGTCTGAAAACAAACCGAAATTGTCTGAAGACACAAAGAAACTGTAGAAAAACTAAGCGTATCTGAAGACACGCAGGAGACAAACGTCCATCTTCATAAAATGTCATCTCCGCCAACTAATAGATAATAATTAAATGCCATCATAATTAACCCAACTCGAAAAAAATCACCATGTTAAAAATATACTTCCCGAGGGTATTATTACCATTCTATAAAGGTCAAGGTCACGACGAACTGTTTATTTCCAGATTTTGTTGTTTTCGATGTTGGCCGTCCAGTTCAAGACGAGGGCACCCGGCGCCAAGACATTCCTGCAGGTCATCAGGGCCAGGTTCGGCAGACACACCCACATCGTCGTCTGCTGTTTTGCTCTGGCCACAAATGTCATCGTGACCTCAATGTTGATGCTGGGTTTGTACTATGGTCATCATCCTTTCCCGTTCGTTTCCAATGACTTCGGTATGTAATAATGAGATAGTGTGGTCAGCACTTTGCCCAATCGCCTTTGTTTCCCTAACGTGAGTCAGGTATACATTAGAGCTGGGTGCACCCAGAGACGTCATGAAGACACCAGTCCGAACTGAGATTCAAACTCGACCACCTTCGGGCTAGGAGTTAAACGCTGTATCATTCGACCACACCGACCACCATTACATGATGGTTATTTTGTATTCTAGCTTTCAACACATGAGGCTGGGTTTGTGCTATACTTTTCAATGCATAAAGATGGGTTTGTATTAAAGCATGATGCTATATTTGTATCAAAACTTCCAAAACAAGTTTTGTATCATTCCTACCCATACATGGCGCTAAGTTTGCATTTTAGCTCTAAATCCCTAATGCTGGGTTTGTAGAGTCCCATTAAAAAACATAATCCTAGATTTGCATTTCGTCTGCAAAACATAATACTATATTAGTATTTTGCATAGAACATAGTTTCTATGTTTACGATTTAAAAATAACCTTTTTTTAAAAGTACTTTTAACGATACGCACACAATATAAGACATAGTATATGTTCTTGGTTTTCCGATTGAGTCTGAAGTTTTTTTATATTATTGCATGCAAAACCTCAATATAAAAATATTGTAATCAAATACATGTGTTCAGGTATTCGATAGCTCACCTATCAAATCTTTAGTGTAAACGAACTCTAGTATCTAATACTTACCCTAATAATACTATATAAATAACTCACCTTCAAGTAAAAAAATATATAAATTTCCCTTAATGCTTATCTATTTTATTTTATAATTAAAAACAAGCATTAGATTGATCTTAGCTTAGTTTACAGGTCATCACTATAGATGGGGTGCGTGTCTTTGGCCCCGATAGTTACCGGAAGAGAGATGCTTATAAATAGTTCGATCGTTCACGTTACATTGTCGATTTTTTTAAATATTGCATGATAAACATTAATTGAGAGATATAGAAATGAATTTTGTTAAAACTAATTTAGTCAATAATTATTGAATTAATCATTAATCTGTGAACAGCTCATTATAATAGTGAATGATTATTTTTCATTAATTATTTATATACTCACAGCCGATTGACTCTTCATTTTGATATTTTATCGATTAATTAACATTGATTAACGAATTAATTGTCAATGACGTAGGAGGGTCGGCCGTGATTACGTCACTGGTCAAGTCGATTGACGTCGAGTTCGCCACGACCCTTATCGCCGCTGTAGTGGGCAGCTACACCTTCCTGGGGGGCCTCGGGGCCACCTTCTACGTCAGCTACTTCAACCTGGCCATCATCTACGTCATCATGATCATCCTCATCTTCAAGGTGTACGAGGACGGCAGTGACCTTGACAACCCCCTAGGTAAGGTCACGCTGTTGGAATACCTGTCTGAGATCAGTATGGAGCCTTTTGAACCAATGTCACTTTGAATGTTTAGTTTCCATGAAAATGTAGTTACACCGCAGGGTATTATAAATGTATTTTAGGGATTTTAAATTTAAGTTAGAATTTAATTTAGGTCAAAATATTTAAAGGAAAGATAATTTTCATTGCCGTTCACTAAATGTTATTTTTCTAGAAAGAAACGTCGTTTCTGAAACCTGCTCTTTTCTAGACATTCGCCCGTTTTGACGAGGCGTGTTTTCGTTCATTTAGTCGTCTATTCGTTCCCCCCCACTCCCCCCCCCCCCCCCCCGGACATTAAAGCCAACCCTCAAAGTTTCAAGTGCAACCATCCCCCCCCCCCCCCAAAATCGAAAATGAATTTCGGAAAGAAACACAGCACATTAGTTACGAAATGTATAAATCCCTGTATTCTAAAACTCAGTTATTACACTATAAAACTTCCCACGATAAATACAACTCACAACAATCTATACCATCGAAATAACAACAACAAATTCCCTGCTTAAAACAACGTGACCAGGATGAACCAATCAGCGTGATCTCCCTATTTGACACGTATAAACAAAGACCGTTGTCCGCAGGTAACATCACAATCACCTTCCAATACTTGAGCTGTGTCAAGGGTCCAGAGGGGAACAAAAACTTCAACTATCTCACTATTTTGTCAAACGAAGGCCTGATGTTTGGACTCATCAATGTTGTCGGTGAGTTGTGTTAGCCTATTATTTTAATGATATGTATATTATGTATGTATGTGTGTCTGTTGATAAATTATATATACGATGACATATCTAAATATAACAAATACAGATTGTGTCGCGTAACAATATAAAGAGGCAGCTAAATGTATCAAGATTGTCAGAATCTTATACGTAATGGTCCGGATAATGAAACTAATAGAAAAATAAGAAAACAAAACTAGTTTTTCCTTCAATAAAACTTTTGGTCGCTCATAAGATCTTTTACGTATTTTAACGACTAAATCCTTTATTGGAGAAAGTAAATTAATTTTATTTTCCTTTTTCCGGCGCACTTAAACCTAGCTCCTATTAAGGTTTTTTTTTAATTTGTTTTATCTGCTGCGTATTAGTAAAGTTCCCCTACTGACTTGAACTCGGATTCAAACTTGACAATTCACAGGTTAGCAGGCTAGCTCTCTACCGCTAGGCCACTCTAAAAAATATTTGCCTCACAACACAATCAATGGTTCGCGATTTCTAATAGACTATTATCTGCCCCTTCTTAACGCCCATGATCGTTTACGGGCGTGAAAGCAACCGTCCGTGACCAAGAGTTCACCGCCCACAGAAAGTCGATCTTGCGATTTTGTTATCTCCCCTTGATTGCGAAATCATTTTATTACATTTAAATGGCGTATTGTTTTTCTAGTTATATTAAACATTACATATAAATGCGTTGTCATTGAAGAAGAAGGTATTTGGAAGTCACAAGAACTCCCACAAAACCACACAGAAACGTTGTGAACAAAATTAGCAATTTTAATGAAATACATAAACCGCATCACTGCTTTTTCTTCGTCATCTTTAATTCAAATATTGTACTGGGTTTCCTCCAACTCAATTTAATATCCCGTTTCAACCTGTTATGCCGTTGACTCCAATTTTAACCTTGCTTTCTTAATTTATTCGTTTCCGTCGCCTTAGTCCATGGAAGAGTAAACGACACATTTCTGGAGTTTTCTCTCAAAAATGGGTTGTTGTTCCTAACGGACCTCATCTGCCCTGGTGTTCGAACTTTTGGGTTAAAAAATCCATAATCTTTACCATCTCGACCACGCCGGTCCCCATATATAGAGTATTGTTTTAGAAATATGCCAGTTGCATAATACGCAAATACATTAATTAAAATGACATCAGAATTATGCTTGACGTCTGTCTACAAAAGCAAGTAAAAATATCACAGCTTATTACAAAAATTAACTAATGGAAAAATACGATAATGGGTTTTTAATATCACGTTTAAACTATTTTGATTTGCAAAAGAAGATGGCGAATCGGACAGGTTTTATGAATTATTATCTTGATTTTTTATACTTCTTAAAAATCTAAATGATGATCGATGTGAAAATTATATTTTTCTTTAAAAAATATTGAAAAACTCTGCCCTTAACCTATAAGACCTAAAACCTTTTTGAACTAATTATATTTTCGTCGTAGCAAAGTACGTTAATTACAGAAACCACAATTTCTATAATTATTGATCTTTTCAATTTTTTTTTTATTTCTGGAAAAGCCTTCATAGTCTAGAAAAAGGTATTGTCATCATGCAAAAAAATCGAAATTCCTATGTTGACGATTTTTTGCAACCGTGTCTGTGATGTTTTAAAACACGATAACTTGAATACCGTTTCATTTGAAATAACTACATGTCATATAGTTGTTTATCCGATTAGTAGTTTTCTACCAACGTTTGGGCGATTTCCGATAACCTGGGGTGTTAGGTCTGCTTACACCACTTGCAGTTTCTCAAAAGACGATAATTTGAGTACAGGTTCAGTTAGGTGGATGAAATTTTATATTTAGGTATTAGTCATGTACGTAGATTTCTATCATTATGTGGACAATTTCGGGATCCCGAAGTGGTGCATTACTTTATATCTGATTTCTCAAAAGCCGTCGGAATTTTATAATTTTTATATTATATTCCCAAAAATAGTTAAATAAAAATGGTAACTGTAGGTACAATGGACGTTTCGACCCAAGGTCTTCATCAGCACAAAGCAGCATATTCTAAGAAATTTTCGTCTCTAAGTGTTTTCTCAGCAAAAAAAAAGGCTTTTGACAAACTAGAATGCCTATTATATTTCTATAGTGCCAAACCATTTCGTTCTTATTATATTAGATATTACTAGAAATTGTGGGGATCTTATTCCCTCTGTATCACACTTTACAGTTTACCTATATTAAAGTATCTGTTGAAACCTTGAACTAGAAATATACAAAAGATATGATGTTAATGTCGTCTTTATTTAACTTTATCTTTCATGTAGCCTTGTGTTAATACCCAATTAAAACGGTTCTCTTCCAAGCACCATTTTAAAGGAATCTGACTATAGCAGTACTAATAGAAATATAACCATAGTATTTCTAATCCTACTTGCAAATACATCCCCCACACCTCACAACCTCTTTAAGGCGATTATTTTGCTGTGACCTGATTGAGAGTATTTTATCATTAAATTGCATCTATTTTATTGGCATCAATTTTGTCCACAGTGAAACGTGAGTAGTTATCGATTACTAACTACTCATTATTTTCTATTCATAAATTCTTTTTTTTATGTGTGTTTTCTGTATATTACATAAAATGTCATTTCAAAAAATTAATTAAAAGCTTGTTATTTTCCACAATCGATTGCAGTTTTTTATTAATTTCATATTTTAGATTTTTTTTTTTATTTTACTTTTTTAAACGAATAAAATATTTCTCAAATCATACGGAATTTACTGTGTCAGCGCTATTAAATTGTTATCATAACAATAGGCGCAGCAGTAAAAAAAAAAATAACAGAGTATTTTTAGAAAAGGAAATATCTAGTAACCATCACAATAACACACTTGAATGCACTGAAAAATTGGAAAAAATAAACATCAATTTTCTTGAGCAAATAAATCCTGCGTAAAAAAACTGTTGGTAACCCAAAGATTCGTTTCAAACTTATTTCAGTGACCAATGATTATACAATTATTGCTCTTTAAAAATTCATGTTTTTTTTCTAAAGCATCGCAGCCACTTCGACCCCAGTAAAAGTTTGTAAATAGATCGTGATGGATGCGGGTGAGTTTCTTGGGAGTACGCGCGTTCTAAGAGATGGGATTTTATGTTTATAGTAGGGTGCAGGGCCGGCGCTACCTATAAGGCGAGCTAGGCGGTCGCCTAGGGCGCTGTCCGTAGGGGGTGGGCGCCAAAATGGGTTGGAAAAACAAATTGAAAGTTTGAGGGGGGGGGTGCAAATCGAAAGTTTGAGGGGAAGGGTGCAAATCGAAAGTTTGGTGTGGGGGTCGCTTTTAAGAAGTTTTGCCTAGGGCGCTAAATAACCTGGCGCCGGCACTGAGTATGTGTGTGTTTTGGAACGTGGGGGGGGGGGTATGAACTAATGTTTAAAATTAACGTGGGGGTGGGGGCAGTGTAAACTGGTAGAGGGGAGGCGAAATACAAGGGTCGGTTCGACATGAAGATGGGTATGAAAATGATCGAGAGGTATGCATGAAATGAGGAGGGGCATGTAGGGGGACAAGGACAATATGAACTAAACGTAGACGGTCGATATGAACTCAGCCGTCTATCTGGGCTGCTTTTGATATTTCGTATATCTGTTTTGCTAATTTGTTTGAAGAAAAGAATACTTTAAAAACCTCAAACATCGCCAAAATAGAAACTACGAATGTTTCCACTTTGTTAAATTGCTCTTCGTTCTAGATAGACATATTAAGTAAACATTGGAGCTATTTGTTATGGCTAATAATACAAAAAGATATTAAGAAACCTGACGGGTTTGAAGTTTATGTCATTTAAAAAGAAATTTTTGAAAGAATTTTAATAAAAACAAGTTTTTTTAAAAAAAACTACTTCTCCTAGGGCTAATGAATGAAAATATCATGTTGTATTAATTTATTCTTTTGTTCGTTAATAAAAAAAAATCTATATATGCTTGACTTCAGATGAATAGGTGGGGTGGGGGAAGGGGAAGTAAACAGTGAGTGTATTATTGATGCAGCTGAGAATCATCTAACCCGAGGCTTATCGTTCCTTGAGAGAGCCTGTCTAAATCACAATGACACAACCTGTAACTATAGCTACAGACATGCGGATAAATGGTCACGTACACACATCGTGTAATTAATTAGAGCAGGGCTTTGTCATTAGTAATTAAATGAATAGTTTTTATTGTTGTTTTTAATTAGCAATAATGGTCAAAAATGTGTTATAGTTATTGAAGTATGTGTTGTTGTTGAAATGTTTGTTTTAGTTTTTGAAATATATGTTATAGTTGTTGAAATATGTGTTATAGTTGTTGAAATGTGTATTGTAGTTGTTGAAATGTGTGTAATAGCTGTGGAACTTTGTGTCAAAGTTGTTGACATATGACATCTTCACATTATACTAATCTTGCAGATAAAGTCTTGAAGTTCAGTGTCAACAAATTCTGTAAACTCAGAAAATTCCTGTTAGATTTTAGATAGCCTAAGATTAAACTTCGTGATTACAAATATTATTATCATTAAGTTAATTTTCTTTAAAAACAAGTATTGTTAACAATGTTTTCGGCTGCATACAATGAAAAAGTATTGATTTCCAATGTAAACACTAACCTATCACAAGCTTGTACCCAAATCATAATCATGAGCATGATTGATATTAAATCAATATTACTACAGAAAATATAAAATTCCCCTTTTTTTTTAGAAAATCGGCAGACATTTATGCCAGGGAGGGTTCATATTTTTTTTTTCTCTAGCTTATAGTTAAACTTGTTTTCTTTTTCATGCAGGGAATTTCGGGACGGTTATTGTTGACCAATCGTATTGGCAGTGTGCAGTTGCCGCCAAGCCGAAGCAAGGGGTGGTAGGTTTTTATACTAGGTGGTATGGCCTGGTTCGCCATCCCGTTCTCCCTCTCCACCGCAATGGGACTGGCCTACATCGCCTTGTCTGCTGAGCAGGGCGGCGCGCTACTGACGGATGCTGAAGTGAATGCTGGTAGGTCTTGGTTACACAGAAGTTATGTGAGTTTTGTGAGTTCCGGTGCACGTGTAAACAAAATAAGGCTGTATATCTGGTCGGTTGCGTAGGCGGCATATTGATAAGGGTGTTGTGGTTAAATGTTTATTCACACAGACACACAGACACACACACACACACAAACAGACACACATACATACGTATCTCAAAATGCACGGTTAGATTAGATGAGAGGTCGTTCTTCTTGTGGTAATCTAATGAATAATTCCGTATTTAATTAATAAACGCAGATTTAATGAATACATGCAACTCGTTGTATTATATAAAAAAAATTGTATAAGCAAAAAAAATATCTGAAAATGTAGCCCTACGTATACAATTTATTTTTCCTTTGAATAGCGCTTATAAAAGCGTAATGACTTTATAGCTTTTATAGCAGGTTCTTAATCAAACAAAAATGAAACTTTAAAAAAATTTACCCTAGCTAGCCTCGACCCATATACTAGACCTTTTAACCGAGTATGGTATATAGGCCAACTTGATCGAAATATGTCTACCCAATTATATGTTGTTTTTTTTTTGTTTTTTTTTTCAAAAATAGAAAAAAACTTAAAAAACATTCTCATCCAAAAAAAAACTCGCTCCATAAAACTTATTAATGTATTAGACTAGACCAAACACTTAGCCGTTTCAACCTAATTATAGATTATTTAAAAAAATAAGAACATAGTTTGTTATTTGCCAAGCAGTTTCTCCATTTAAAATGTTTTCACGTTGATTTAAGCGCCATCACCACTTACGGTATAAATATAGACAAAATAACTCAGGAGAAAATATCTCAGGACAAAATATATCAGGACAAAATATCTCAGGACAAAATATCTCAGGACAAAATATATTATATATCAGGACAAAATATCTCAGGACAAAATATATTATATATCAGGACAAAATATCTCTGGACAAAATATATTATATATCAGGACAAAATATCTCAGGACAAAATATCTCAGGCAAAATATATCAGGTAAAATATCTCAGGACAATATATATCTGGACAAGTTATACCAGTACGCAGTGGCGTAGCGAGGTTGGGTGTCACCCGGTGCGGCACTTAATGGTGTCACCCCCCCAGAGGCGTAGCGACCCTACCCGGGGACAAACTTTTCGATTTGCACCCCCCCCCCCTCAAGTTTTCGATTTGCACCCCCCTCAAACTTTCGATTTGCACCCTCCCACCTCAAGTTTTTCTCTATATATTTTGCTATTTTTTTCCTTGGTGTCACCCCCCTAAATGGTGTCACCCGGTGCGGTCCGCACCCCCCTCTCGCTACGCCCCTGCCAGTACGAAATATCCAAGGACGAAATATCTCACGACGGATAAAATAACCAAGCTACATTTCCTTTCACTTATGATACGAAATTTGGTAACAAATATGGCATAAAACTACATCTTCAGAAACAATACCAGACTTTTATTTAACTTCTCATCAAAAATGTACGCATATCCTTTTGTCTCTAGGCCTGGTACCGCCAGCAGTGGCATATCGTCTTCTGGGAAAACCCGGAGCTATTTTCATCGTTGTGATCGTCCTAATGGCTGTGACCTCGACCGGTGCTTCTGAAATCATGGCCGTGACGTCAATCGTTGTCTACGACATCTACGCAGTCTATCTGAAGGTAAATATCGTCTGGTCGCTGGTACATTAGATGTAATTAATATTTCAGTTGATTGGAAGCTAGAGAGTTATGATAGTTAGCGCAGGCATAAACTATTCATGGAGGTCTTAGCAGTGGCATTGAGATATTTAGAAGCGTTTTTCTGCTACATTTAATCTACAAGTAGAATTGACCGTATTCAAGAAATTTAGTAGTCTTAGTGGATGTAATTCATGGCATGAAAACTTGGGTATACATTTTTTACATGAATAGCAACCATTTATAACAAATATAAGCCAAGGTTGTTTTTTTTTTAAGAAATAATTGATACGAGCCGGCCCGCGGCATAACATACGCCGCTATTTGGTTGTTGTTTTTTGCTACTTTTCAGTAATTCATAATTTGTGAATTCGACAGTACCAACGCTGACACTGAAAATATTTCTTTAAAACACTATAAGTAGCTCGAGGACCATAACCCCCCCCCCTTCCTCCCCCCCCCCCCCCCCCCCCCCCCCCCCACGTTTAAAATCGTTTCAAACAAAATTATCTGCCCCTAATAGCCGTCACTAAACCCAACTCCACGAAGGTAAACATAGCGTGAACCACAGCTCACTAAGATCATGTAGGGGTGGGGATGTTAGGGAGCGCGCTTGCAGCTTGTTTTCTAACGGCTCGAAGAAGAAAATTATATATATAGATAGTTTTTGTGAAATATGTTTCAATGTCATTTGTATTTGGTGTAATGTGCGAGTCATTTTTTTTTTCTTTTTTTTTTTAAATTACTTCCTAATCCAAATAAACACTCATACCAAGTTTAAGTTCCCAATCGCTGCTGTTAAAGATGGACTTTTCTAAAAGCACTTCCAAAAGGGCTGGTTCTTTAAGCAAACGGACACATTAATTACTTGAAGTACTTATGTTGCAGATCTGCAACATGGTATTAGTTTATTAATTGGCGTGTTAAACATTTGTAGAATGTGAGCAGGCCATGAACAGGTAAGGCGATTACCTGATGCACGTTTATTTTTTATTTCGCGGGTTTCCACACTAAGCCAGGGATTGTTTGCGTGATGTTGTCCTATTGAATCACCTTGTTGTCGTGTGAATTTCATCTACCTGGGTTAGTGTAAGCTCCTTAACTGATAGTTGATCTAGTGCTCGCTTCAGATATATTTTTTCGTTTTTTTAAATTATATAAATGTTCAATAAACGTTAGAAAAAACGAAAAAAAAAATATCTGAAGCGAGCACTGAAAGCGAGCGAACGCTTGAAAATGTTAAATGGTTTAAACCCCTTATAGCTCAGAAATTAATTACATAATTAGTCTGATCTACTAACCTAGTTTTGGATTCCATCGAGCAAAAGTCAATGTTGCCTAGTTTAGTTTGGCTCCATTAGTGTGCCAGTATTCAATAGCTTTATACGTTTGGGTATTTGGTCGTTCTCTATAAGTGTTATTTTGTATAAGCTTTTATTTAGTTCATACGGCTTGTTAGTTTGTCTGCCTATCTATGAGTTTGTGGCAAATCTTGTAACAATTTTTTTTACTAATAAAGAGATTATGTTTAAACTTTACTGATACATTTGTCTACAAAGACAACGAAAGTATATCTACCTTTTAATCTAATTAGATGTTAAAGTAGTTAAAAAATTGATGTGATGATTTCTATCTTCAATTTTTAAAAAGTGGAGATAAAGGATTAAGTAGTAGAGATCGTTTGACCAGCCTGGTGAGCTGACATCCCAGTGGTTTTCACGCACGACAGTCGGCCAATGGCGTTAATCGGTGCATATCATGGAAGCTATGATTGTCAGCTCCTGATTTAATTTCAAGCAAATACTTTTCGTCGTAAAGGGCCAATAGATTTTTAAAAAATAATACCAATTTACTATTTTAAAAAATGTTCAGAATTACTTCACAGAAAAATAAAATAAAAACAAACAGAAAACATTTAGAAAAATAAGCTTTTAAATACACAGAAAATACGATAATACCCAAATGGGTTTTTGTAGTAAAATGATGGGTTGCTCAGGAAATCTATCTTAATGATTAAAATAAAGAACGGGAAGTTTATTTTATTTTAACTTTTTCAGAGCATTTTTAAGCTCATGCGCATAAGGTTTTTACATTTATTTATTTTGCTAGGACTTCATATTCTAAGTTTTGAAGTTTTCGATGAGTGTATAAAAATTCTTTTAATATTATTTTTTGGAACTACTGTCCCAACATTTCATATTTTTAAAATTTCTTTAACAGTTCTTAATTTTACGAAATTTTATTTGAAGGTAGATTATATATTTTTACGTCTGTATGGAACACAAATGCATTCAACATCTATGTGGATCAGAATTTCTTCCAGGCATCTTTTTGGGGGGGGGGGGGGGGGGGGGGGGAGAGAAATCACAAAATGTCTGATTTTTTTGGTGACCGGGAAAATGAGCAACTAAAAACTACGCAACGGAAAACTGTGCAACGAAAAATTTCGTACAAAATGCGCAATGGCACTTTTATTTTCTTAAATCGAGCATTTATAGACATAAGCAAAAAAAAATACGCTCGAATGTTTGTAATTTCGCATTTTTTTTTTTGCGCAGTTTTACATTGCGCATTTTCCCGTTTGCGCATTTTTCTGGGAACCCAATATTTTGTGTCCTCAGCCTTACCGCCACACCACCGACACCAACAGCTGCATCCTGTGTGGGAAGGGGAGGGGACGGATGGCGAACCCCAGGGACAAGTGTATCTGTGTCAGCATGACCTACTGCGCCAAGTGTCACCAGGACAACAAGTGAGTGACCCAGTTCGGATGTTAGTCCAGTGTCTGTGTGTGACCTAATATGAAAAATGTCATCAGGACAACAGACTAGGTCTTAGTCCAGTGTCAGTGTGTGACCTACTGCGCCAAGTGTCACCAGGACAACAATTACGTGACCTAGTTCAGATGTTAGTCCAGTGCCTGTGTGACCTACTGTGTGACCTATTTTGACATTTTATGTCACCAAGACAACATAGACCAGGTCTTAGTCCAGTGTCTGTGTCCCTACGTTGACATATGTCACCAGGATAACGTATGAATGACCTTGTTCAAGTGTTAATTTAATGCCAATTTTAAAAAAATAGATTGTGTGCGATTAAATTTAAGTTTTTGCACTACGCTGTGCTCATTCAAACTTTGTCAATTCTGGTGTCGCTATGATAACATTTGTGTGTGTTAAGTAAAGAATGTCATGAATCTATTTACGTCGCTCACTGCACACATGTTCATGTTCCATATAGCAAGACGAAACGTTAATTGTCTGTGTCAACGACGTCTGCAATAAAATAATTGTTAATTTCCCGCCCCAAAACGATTTAGTCAAATTGCTTGCTTCTTTGATTTAACCTTTTACACTCCTAACACTGTACGTCGCGTCTGTCATCTGACTCCTCAGGAGTTGGTGTTTTAACTTGTTACGCTTCATGTGCCAGAGAAGTACTGATGGATTCTGTCCTCGGCTAATGAGGTTTTTCTCTTAAGTACAGATCACTTTGTCGGCAGTTTTCATTACATTCGATTATTTTTTTATATTATACGATTCCAAAGACATAATCATAAATTGAATAGGCCTACTTAATAATTAAATGAAGAAAGTAAAGCGGCATAAGAGTAGACTAAAATGCTACTTTGTTTCTTTTGACTGCTTAGTTTTCTGTTTACTTTAGCCTAAAGAGGGGGCGACAGAAAACTAATCAATCTAAAGAAACAAATGTGCACAGCTTATTTTAGTCTACTCATATTTTAGCTGTGAAGCCAAAGGTTGAGATTGTGACTATCCATGGCTAAAATCAAATAAGAACGTGTGGAAAAGGTAGCTGAAACTGTATTGTCTTTAATTATTGATAATATTATTTATAATATATTGTAGCCTATAAATTCGATTGAGATTAATTTTTATCATTTTAAATTAATTATTTACGACATAATTTGCAAAGCAACTTGAATCAATGAAAATGTTCTTTTTTCGTATATCTTTAAAATATTCTGATATAACTTTACTGTTTACATAATTTTTAAAATCAATCTTTAATCTTTAACAAAATTTAAAATATGCTATTCAAACTATTTCTAGCGATCTAAAATAATTTCACTTTTTTAAAAACTGAAATAGTAATTTAAAACTATTGTTTACCTTTTCTTTTTAAATTGTTTTTGTCTATTTAACTATTTTTAAGTTGTCTCCCTTACCATAATTTAGGGGTGAAATGGTAAGTCATTTTTTTAAATACACGAATTTTAATTTTTAAAATAAAATAACTAACTGAATACAGTGTCTAAACTTCTATAGTAAAATGTAAGATTAACAAAATTAGAACATGTGTTTTCATGCAAGGATAGTAGTTGTATAAGCAGGTAGGATTTGGCTTTTTATAAGTCTATCTATGGGTTTTGTTTGGATAAGATGAAGAAACATAAACAATGTTTTGTTGTGTTATAGCTAGGGCAATTTTAAGAAGAAGAAAAAAAAATATAAACGGAGTTGCCAAGCGGATGATTTTCAACACGTCAAATCTGAATGTGGAATATTACCAATTAAGAAATCCACTGCGTCTAGGCATATGCTAACCACAAATTAAAAATGTTCAAGTCCGCTCACTACGGGGCGGAGTGGTCTAGCGGTAGAGAGCTGGACTGCTAACCCGTAAGTCTCGAGCTCGAATCCGGGTTCAAGTCAGTAGACCGTCCCTGAGTCCACCCAACTCTGATGGGTACCTAACTCACGTTAGGGAAAGTAAAGTCGGCTGGGCATAGTGCTGACCACACTATCTCTTCATATGCCGAGGTCACAGAAACAAGTGAACTCTACTTCACTTGCCCTATAGACCGTCAGGTTTGAAAGGGAAACTTTACTTTAAGTCCGCTCACAGAAAAACGGCGTAGAACTGTATATAATCAAAAGAAATACCGTTCTTTTTGTTTTTGCTGCTTTTAAAAAAAAAACTTATAGGGCCTACACATTGCCTTAAAATGTACTACAGACAAAACGAACAAAACCGAAAGTTTTTTTTCAATTGCCCCCCCCCCTCATCCAAGGACAAAATGTATCTGAAAAAACATGTTTACGACATGAAGACAGAACATTCGTACTTCGGTATAAATAGTAGTTTTTGTTTATAAAGCTGTTCAGTTGATGGATTTGTTCACATAGTTGTTCATTTGATGGATTTGTTCACATTGCTGTTCAGTTGATGGATTTGTTCACATTCCTGTTCAGTTGATGGATTTGTTCACTTTGTAAATTCAGTAAATGGATTTGTTCACAATGCTGTTCAGTTGATGGATTTGTTCATAATGCAGTTCATTTGATCAGTTTTCGTCACGTGTTAAGAGGATTTGTTCACGTAATTCCACTTCATCAGTTTGTTTAGCACAATTGTATTTTGCACATCTCGAGACAGGTCTTGCTGCTGTTTAACCTGTTGAGTTCGCAAGTCTTTAACGTAAATAGATACACCTTATAAACCACATATTCATACCATGGTCTTGAACTCAAACCAGCTCGATTAGCTAGCGGACTCATTCGGTAGTGGATGGTCACATTGGATCTTAGTACTGTGGCAAAATCTAACAATGGAGTTTCAAAACGTATTGGGACAGAATCGAGTCAGTTGATCTCATTATTATTTGCAAAATAAAATCTTACAATGAAGTGTAAACACGTAAAGGAACCAATTCGCTCTCAACATAATGGCGAAATCTAACCAAAAATTTTAAAACTTGCAGGAACAGATCCGAGTCCCGCCGAGCCATCAAACCGGACTACAAATGTAACGTCCACGGTGCGTTTCGAACCTACAACGACTACCTGTCACGGCTCAGTAACTGGACGCTTGTCTGGACGACCATTGCTATCATACCAGTCACAGTGGTGCTCTACATGATACAGGTATGTGATTTCTGTCACCTGTAACATTACATGATACAAGTGTTTGTTTACTCTAACCTGTAACATTACATGATCCAGGTATGTGTTTTGTTTCACCTGTAACATTACATGACACAGGTATGTGTTAACTGTCACTTGTAACATTACATGACACAGGTATTTGTTTACTCTCTACTGTAACATTACATGATACAGGTGTTTGTTTACTCTCTACTGTAACATTACATGATCCAGGTATGTGATTTCTGTTACCTGTAACATTACATGATACAAGTGTTTGTTTACTCTAACCTGTAACATTACATGATCCAGGTATTTGTTTACTCTCACCTGTAACATTACATGATCTAGGTATGTGTTTTGTGTCACCTGTAACATTACATGATCCAGGTAGATGTATATTCTGTTACCTATTGCAATTTCTATACATAAAATTTAAGTACATTACTATTACCTTCCATAACACAACTGTTCCAATAAATTTCATTTTGATAAACTTTTAGCTAAGATAATATTTTTATGACGCGAACACAGAGAATAATAGACTCAGAAACAGAAGAAATACCAACTCATACGCTGTTGTGTAAGCATGTGTATAGCTATACACCTACTCTACTCATTTGAGTCATCATGCCCATGACATATTCACAGGCACTGAGATACAGACTAACAGACACACAGACACATAAACATACATACACACATATGCATACATACACATAGACATATACAGACATGCACGAAGAAACATATACACAGAAACACATACATACACATAGACATATACAGACATGCACGAAGAATCATATACACAGAAACATATACATACACATCGACAATACTGACCTGCAATGACTTGGATAGAGTTACCGCAGACTATAGCGATCTAAGGCCAAAATGCATGAACAAAAATGCATGACGCTTCTATCGTCTCCCGAAGGAGACATAAAACAATTAGAAACTGTTACATATTTTTAATGAATGATGTTTTATTAATAACTAAATTTGGTAAACATTGTTACAGTACTATGGATGGTAATGCTTTCTGGGGGAAAACTTTGAGAAAACGTATGTTTAAGGGTAGATCCAGTTCTTTGAAAGTTTGATATGAATGTAAAACTTTACCTGTACTAGGGCGAGTAACAATTTAATTCAAACCAAGCGAGAACATGTACAGTTTAGATAGCAACAGGACTGATTTAATGAATTTGGGAAGTACAATAATATTTTATGAATTCGAACAGAAAGCTGTGTTGATTTCATGATACAGTTCTTAAGTTGTAAGTAGTTGGAGAAGAGGCCGTACTATCTATCTATATATATATATAATTCTTTTCTGGGAGACGCTAGAAAACAAGCTGTAAGCGCGCTCCTTACCACCCCCAACCCTACACGGTCTGGTGAGCTATGGTTCACGCTAAATGTTTACAAGCAGAGCCGGGTTTAGTGACAACTATTAGGGGCAGATAATTTAGTTTGAAAAGATTTTAAACGTAGGGATGGGGGGGGGGGGGGGTAACTAAGTGGAGTTTACTTTAACGGAGGGGGGTGGAAGGAGGGGGTTATCGTCCTTAACGAGCTACTTATAGTGTTTTAAATAAATATTTTCAGTGGCAGCGTTGCTACTGTCGAATTCACAAATTATGAATTACTGAAAAGTAGAAAAAACAACAACTAAATAGCGGCGTATTATATTCCGCGGGCCGGCTCGTTAGTATTAATGCTGCTTCGCCGTAGCGCAGGGGTCTGCGACCTGCGGCTCTTTTGATGTCAAAATGCGGGTCTCCAGTTCCATGCACAAATATTAATAATTTGTTTTATTTCATGTTTAAAACTCATAAAAAAATTACAAAGAAAAACAACTTTAAACATGATAAAAACACTCATTAGACAACAATGAGAGTAGGTGAGGTAGAAAATAAATGGACAGCTGACAGCAGCTTGGGCACCCGACCCAGCCCCACAGCCGTGCTATGGACAGCCCCGTGGCAACGGTTCCATGCTTGCCACTACACAAGTGCAGACTTTTTCGAATATCATTAAATAGGCAATGTTATTTTATACAGAATGAATTTCTCTATCGGTCAGTATGCATTAAATTTGAGGGACGTGGTTTTTTAGTTATTAGCTTCCTACAGTTGAGCCGGGTACTGGACGGTGGGCTACGAGTTTACCTTGCGTTCAGTGGGGTGGAGATTACGCCTGGTGAGAACCGAAGACAGAAGCGACCGATACCCAAGCCAGTAAGTGTGAGTTGGTCGTTCTGAGGTCTGCCCTGAGCTGGTGGTGTCCGTAAAATAAAAAGTGATTGGCTTCTAAAGTGGATTGGGATAGTCGTATAGTTAAATTATTTGATTACTAATTTAATCAGAGCAGAGCTGGCTAAAATACTTTAATATGTTTTGTGCGAAATATCAGTATGTTTTTAAGTATATTTTTTTTTCATATTTAAAGCTATTTTTTCAAATCAAAAATCAAATGTGTATATCTAATCCCAATCAAATGCCAAAATATTGAAATAAAAATGATAGCGGCTCTTTAGAAACTGGGAACTTTTGTAAATTGTAACTTTTAGCTCTTCCAATTCAAAAGGTTGCCGACCCCAGCCGTAGCGAAATTAATACCCCATTTCTTGTTTGTCAGTCGTATTTAATACAAAAAAAACCTAACATGAAGGTTAAATGAGCTGATATTGATTTTTAAAAGAACTTTCAATTATTATAAAAACAAATATTTTTAATTGTAAAGGTTTTTATTTTTAAATTATAGTCAAATGGTAATTTTAGTACTTAAGACATATAACGTAAACAGGCTATTATAAAAATAAATTATATTATAATAAAATATTTATCATACATGTTTGTTTTGTTTTTCAACCGTTGAACCGTTGGCTGCCTTTTATATATAGATGCGAATTGACTCTAATTTTAATACTCAATATTGCAAACATTGCAGTATATCTAAACTAACACTATAACATACCCAACAATTTAGCTAACACTAATCAGACACAAACATCACTACAGTTCTTATGATCATTCTAAGAAAACATAAAACTTCATCTAACAAGACACTACCCATACTATACAACCAGAGGCGTAGCAAGGGGGGGGGGACATGTCCCCGGGCGCCGACTTTAGGGGGGCGCCAAAACTTCAGCCAAACCTAACATAAATCAAAACTTCAGCTAACTCTAACATAAACACAAACTTCAGCTAACCCTAACATAAATCAAGACTTCAGTTAACCCTAACATAAACACAAACTTGAACTAAACCTAACAAAAACGCAAACTACAGCTAAACATAACATAAATCAAAACTTCAGCTAACCCTAACATAAATCAAAACTTCAGTTAACCCTAACATAAACACAAACTTGAACTAAACCTAACAAAAACTCAAACTTCAGCTAACCCTAACATAAATCAAAACTTCAGCTAACCCCAACCAAACTCAACCAGTATTACCCCCCCCCCCCCCCTTGTGTTTCCCATCCAGGCCAGCCTGGGCTGGGTGTACCTGGTGATGGGGATCCTGGTGGGCTCAGCTGTCATCCCCATCACGCTGTCCATGTTCTGGCAGAGGCTGACCTCTATCGGGATGACGTCAGGGTGTGTAGGTGGCGCCGTCATCGCCATCTCGGTCTGGCTGGGCGTGGCATCCAAGTACGAGGGTGGTCTCAAGAACTGGTGGAAGAGTACAGGTGAGTTATGTTGTGAAGGTTTCAGATGGTGCCACGTCACACTTTTTTCATTATAAAAAAGAAATGTTAGAAAACAGATATTGGACGTGTTTTACGTTTTAGAAAACTGTTTTAATAAATTGTAATAGGAATTGTTTAAAATAATCTATTTTGACAGAGTTCAGACAAGAGTTTGGAAAAATATCGATGTCTAAAAAAAATTCAACTGCAATTTTGAGGGGTGTTGTAGGCTGATGTGTGACGTCATTTTAGGGGGGGGGGGGGGGCTTTTTGTGACGACTTGTGACGGAGGGGAGGAGGTAAAAATCGTCCAAAAAAGCGTGACGTCATTTATGGATGACCCCAGAGAGAGAGAGAGAGGCTAACAATGCACCTGCATAAACCTAATAACTCATCCGTTAGCACAAATGTTCATCTTAGAAGAAAAAGTTCAATTTTGAAGGATACAACAAGCTTTTTAAATATTTGGGTACGGCTAATCGGTTTAAACTCACTGACTTGTGTTGGTATCCGGCACCAGGTGTTTAGCTGTGTTAGATGTGTCCAGGGTAAAGACAAAATGACTGACAGTACGTATATCACAACGTTATAAAGCTTTTTGTGATCATTATATGAGTATGCTGAAATGGCGTGGTCTGGTACTAGACTACTAACCTAATGTCTTCAGTTCGGATCCCGTGCGCGAGAGCGTAGTGCGACTCAAAGTCCACCAAATCTTATAACTGCCATCTGTCCTATTGACCGGTGTTGTAGTCCAGATGTCACCCATACCCCTTCCGATAATGGATATATATATATATATATATATATATATATATATATATATATATATATATATATATATATATATATATATATATATATATATGTATATAAGGCACTTAAACTATAGGGATTTTGTTGTCACCCCTATCCAGGAGAGTCACTTGTGCCTTATTATGTATGTCACTATAATAACCTGAATAAGGTATTAAACTATGTGTAACCGGTCCACACACCCCGCCCCACGACATTGTGACGCCACTGTGCACCTGTAGCCCTGTTGAAAGTCTTGCCTCGTCTTGCAGGCAGTGAGGTGGCGATGCTGAGTGGAAACGTGGCGGCCATCGTATCCGGTGGCGTCATCACCGTCGTGGTCAGCTACTTCACCAACAGGTACTATGACGTCAGCATGGGCTACGAGATTTGGGAAAACACGCGAGACATCGACAACCCCTTGACCCCGTGGATGGAGAAGCACCAAAAGTAGGTCGAACGTGTCTTTAGTAGGTCAACATGTTGTTGGTATTTGTATATCTATCAGATGTATTGTTAGTAGGTCCAGTTTCATGAAGCTAGCTGAAAGAAAATACCAAAAAAACATTGTATTATCTTAAAGATAATAGGGCTGGTAAGTAGGTCACCAGCCAGTTCTATGGCTCATACAGGTTTTATTGAGCCGTAGAACTGGTTGGTGACCTACTTACCAGCTCTAATACTTAAAACTAATAGCTAAAGAACTAGTAATTGGACCTATATCAGTAAAATAAGCAGTCATTAAAAAGTCATAAGCATGAGAAAGGTGTATTGTTTTCTCAGAGAATTGAACCTATCCCAGAACCGACAGTTAGACAACCGACCATCTTTAGAGGAAGTCCAGCAGGTCCATCGTCAGTCTTACGTCATGGCCTACTCCTTGTCCACCGTCTTCTCTGTCGTCATCCTCATCTTGTGGCCGGCACTGATGGTCATCGTGGGGGTGATGACCTTAGAACAGTTCACCTCGTGGGTGAGTGGTGGTGGTGGTGGTTGTGGTGGTGGTAGGGTGGTGGTGGTAGTGGTGGTGGTAGTGGTGGTGGTGGTAGGGTGGTGGTGGTGGTGGTTGTTGGTCTCTGAGATGGCAGGTAGATGGCAGACGTATGGGGTTAAATTGTTAGATGTCAGTGGATTATATCTGTATTTGTGTCTATACGTGTTCATGTGTCTCTATATGTCCATGTGTCTATATCCGGTGCCAGGTGCGACTGTCTGAGGTGTGGGCGTGTCTTGCTATGGTCGTCATGATTGTCCTGCCCCTGGTCAACGAGGTGTGGGACGTCTGGTCAGCCTTGACCCAGCGAAATAAGGTCGGTGATACTGTTAAATTAATGGGGCAGTGTTAAATTAATGGGGCCAGTGTTAAATCAATGGGGTCACTGTTAAACCACGACTGATAAATGGTGAAAATGTTAAATGGTGACAGTTTTGAGTAAATGGCAGTAGTTCTAAACTAATGATGACAGTTAAATAAAAGGTTAAAGATACCTTTTTTTACAGTTTTAAATCAATGTCCACTTTGTCAAATAAATAGTGACAGTGTTAAATATAGTGTCAATGTTGGGCTGATTTGTAAAGTGCTAAATTAAATGGTGCCAGTTTAAAATAAAAAGAGACATCTTTATCATTTCCTTTATTTAAACTCAAGTTATTATTTCAGGTGGGTGACCAGGAAATGTTCATCGACGCAGAAAACGAGCGCACAAAACTCTCAACCCCCTCGGTTCCAGACTTCAAGACCGCACGAGGGGTGAAAAAACGAGGCATCAGCTTCGAGGCGAATCACCATGGCAACGAGGACGCGCTGTATACCATCACAGACAATGAAAATGGTCCAACTTCTCACAGCGTGCGGCTCAGTTCTACGGAAAACGTCAATGGCTTGCGGAATTCTGGTCATGACGTCATAACCTCCCATGACGTCAGTGTTTACCATGACGTCACTTTTGCTCGTGAGAACACCGCCACGACAAGCAGCTCACGCGCAGGGGTTAATGAATTCGTCGTTCAACATCCCAACGCTAACGACTCATTAAATAACGTCCAGCACGTTTCATTAATTAACGACATCAACTCAACGCCCTCGTTGCACTCAATAGCTGACTCAGGAGGGCAACAATTTAAAGCTGACGTGTACAAAGCGACCAGCCCGCCTGTCACACAGCCGCTCGCGTCTGGCACCGGCCTGTTCAGCGGCGTCCATGTTAGAACCAGCCCATTACGTCATAACCAGACTTTCAGCGACCTGACCCCGGCGTCCGACCTTCGAGAACATTCGGAGGACCACAGACATGCGTCCTCCCCGGAAACTACCGATGCGGACGATTTGTTGTTTTAGAGAATGGTTGGTCTGTCAGCGAGGTGGCTGTCATTCAACATCCGTTATGTGCCGTCCGTTATACAGCGTTTCTCTTTCTAACTGAGTTCAGGGTTTTTGCCAAATGTCAGGTATTAGATGACATTTGATCAGTAGATGTTGCATGACATTTGATAAGTAGATGTTACATGACATTTGATAAGTAGGTGATACGTGACATTTGATAAGTAGATGCTACTTGACATTTGATAAGTAGATGTTACTTGACATTAGATAAGTATATGTTAAACAACATTTAATAAGTAGGCTACATATTACATTGCATTTGATAAGTAGATATTATATGACATAGGTGAACTAGATATTATTTGACATTTGTAAAAGTAGATACTAGATGACATTTAGCAACGTGAAACGGAATATAAGTCAAAACATTTTTATTTCAGCAAGCAATAGCGAAAATTGTTTTAATGAAGAATAGAAAATTTCTAATAAATGTTTGAAATTCGTTTTCCACAAAAAGAATAATAAAAATACGTTTTCATACATCAAATATGAAAAAACTTTTACAGGAATTAGGACTACCGATCATGCTTAACTATACGAAACATTTTTGTAATGTTATATCTCAAACACCGTTAAGGGGTCGGCGTGGTCGAGTTGGTAAAGCTCATGGTTGCTGAACCGAAAAGTCTCGAGTTTGAACCCTCGGGCAGATGAGGCTCTTCTAGGCTCTTCCAAAATCAAACAATTGTAGTTTGTTCTAGGTCGGACAAATTTCCAATTTTTACCCGGGAACAAACTTCCGATTTGCACCCCCCCCCCCCCCTCAAACTTTCGATTTGCACCCCCCTCAAACTTTCGATTTGCACCCCCCCCCCCTAACTTTCGATTTGCACCCCCCCTCTCATACTTTATATATATACCGAGGGGTCTATGGGGGGGGGGGGGGTTATGACCCCCCTAACCCCCCCCTGCCTACGCCACTGTCTCATATGTGTTGAGTAGAAGTTAATTGGATGTTATAAAACATTTCTCTGATGTAATACTTCGATACCTCATCGTCGCATCTGACAGGTGAAGTAGAGTTGATCTGGTTTTTACGTGTCTTTCTTTGCTTTGTTTAGACTTTGTGGATGATTGTGGCTACTTGAATATAGGTGAAGGAGAGTTTTTCTGATTTCGCTCGCGGCTAACTTTGTGTGGGTGATTGTGTGGTCAACCAAATTAATTGTCGTCTGTCAGGCGTGACTCATCCCTGGTAATGCTTGATAGCATCAGAGTTTCTTCGAAATGGAATTTATAGAGAAAATATACTTTTACCATTTTTACCAGTGTCCGCCCCCCACCCTGAAAATATCAAGTGCCCCCCCCCCCCCCTCCCCCGAAAAATAAAAGTCTGGAAAAACACTGGTTAGCATCTGAGCTCAATTAATTGAGTTTTCTAAAATTTGTATTTAACCTTCATAAAGGGATGTAGGCCAAATATCTTTTCTTAAGTTGATATTTCATATAACAGATTTACTTAAAACGTGTACATAAAAACCTACTCTCTCAAAAATGTGAATAACAGTTAAGTACTTTAACGTTGTACTCTATATTCTACAGCTTGTAAACACTTTATAGGCAAGCAAAAGTAAACACCGAGAATCGATAAAGAAAGTAATAATTCTTATTTAGGGAGAAACTTAAGTCTATATACAATCATAGCTTTCAGTAATGTATTTACTTTTTGAATTAATGTTTCATGGTTTTACGCTATTAGAAATATGTTTTTAAAAATATGAACAGTTAAAGTTCAAAATCATTTCAATGAAAACTAAATCTTAAGTACATCAGCAATTACGTAGGCTTTATCTACAAAATAAGTAGTTCATTTATCATTTAGCAATGATGATTCAGGAATATATTGTTAGGAAATTTGGAATTATCCATTGAGCTAAGAATGCAATAGTAACAAAATGTAAAGTGTGTTCATAATTCGTTTTTAGGAAAATGAAAGGATCTTTCTCTCTCTCTCTCTCTCTCTCTCTCTCTCTCACACACACACACACACACACACTCACTCTGCCGAGAGAAATAGAGAGAGTAGGGAAAAAATAGAATTATAATAGTTAGATCAATATCGTCTCCAAAATATATGAGGTTCCCGAAAATTTCAGACCGTTTTGGGTTTAATTCAAATTTAATCTTCTATATATATAATTCTCTTCTGGGAGACGCTAGAAAACAAGCTGTAAACGCGCTCCCTCCCATCCCCACCCCTACATGGTCTTAGTGAGCTGTGGTTCACGCTATATTTACCTTCGTGGAGTCGGGTTTAGTGACGGCTATTAGGGGCAGATAATTTAGTTTGAAACTATTTTAAACGTTGGGGGGGGGGGGGGGGGGGGGGAGGAAGGGGGGGGGGGGGTATAGTCCTTAACGAGCTACTTATAGTGTTTTAAAGAAATATTTTCAGTGTCAGCATTGGTACTGTCGAATTCACAAATCATGAATTACTGAAAAGTAGAAAAAACAACAACTAAATAGCGGCGTATGTTATGCCGCTGGCCAGCTCGTTTTTTTTAAATACATGTTGCAAAATACAAATTAAAAGAAAATATTCCAATGTTTCATGTCTTATTGATGGCATGTTGGTATATTTTTAGCACTGATAGTGACGTGATAGGGTAAGGAGATGCGAGTGTAACAGGGGGAGGGGTCTTTTCTTACTCCCCCCCCCCCCCCCCCACCACCACCAAAACGAAAATTAATTGAAGATTTGCATGGTTAGTAAAATTAACAAAGGACAACTAACTCGGTAATTAATTAATAAAAGAAACCTACGCAACGAAATCAATCTTTGTGACGTAATTGGGTTTCCGCTGGTTCCTCCTTAAACCCATGCATAGGCCTACACTCCAGTTAATATCGTAAAGATGAAAATAGCTAACAGCCAACTGCGCAACCATGTACTCAGTGAGTTATGTCCCTTACATCTGATAAAAAGAACAAAATTATGATCTATTTACCTGTTCAGTATAAAACAAAACAGATTCACATCAAGGGCAATTTTTTCTTTTATTTAACATGAAAAAAACAAAAGATTTATATACGTGTAAAAAAAAAATCGGATACGTTTTCCTTAATGAAATTAAAGCAAAAAGGGTTGCATTTAAAAATTCAGCTTGTAAATGTTTGCGTACATTACGAAACAAAACATACGAAAATGTTTTTTCTTTTCATTCAATATCTTTCAGATTGATCCGTTAATTAGACTCTCTGCGTAATTTAATTAAACAGACTTAATGTAGATCCGTCTCGCACAATTTTTTTTTCTAAGCACTGAAAAGTTTTGTGCACAAAGGGATCAAAGTGGTCATGTTGATGTAATGTTTTGTGATGTCGTCAATTATTCAGATCTTTAATTCCAGCTCGTTTGTCGTCCGTTGTCTTTACATCTTGATAAACATAAGACAACAGACTTGAATAGATGATTCAGTGAATGGATAATGGTCGGGCTTTTAGAGAGTTTCGAAAAGGCGAGTTTTAATGACGTGTATTATATATATATATATATATATTATACATATATATATATATATATATATATTATACACACATATATATATATATATATATATATATATATATGTATATATAACATATATTTACATATATATATATATATATATATATATATATATATATATATATATATATATATATATATATATATATGTATATATTTACATATATGTATATATTTACATATATGTATATGTATATATAACATATATTTATATATATGTATATATATGTTTATATATATGTATATATATATATATATATATATATATATATATATGTATATATTTACATATATGTATATGTATATATAACATATATTTATATATATGTATATATTTATATATATGTTTATATATATGTATATATATATATATATATATATATATATATATATATATATATATATATATATATATATATATATATATATATATATATATATATATATATATATATATAGGAGAGAAAACTCACAATATAAACAGCTGTCTTGTAGTTTGTTGTAGGGCGAACACAGGCAGTAGTATTTAATTCTTTTGGAATCACGTCTAAAATTAAAATTGAGAACATATTATAGGTGCGACTCGTTTTCAGGTGCATATAGTTTATAAAGATTGCACAAGACCGTATAATTAAAATACTTGTGAGCATAACTTAATAAATTCCAATTTTTAAAAGCAAACTAAGAAAAAAAAATATACCAGGAATTTACACACAAATAACGACATTGAGTCCACCCAACTCTGATGGGTACCTAACTCACGTTAGGGAAAGTAAAGGCGGCTGGGCATAGTGCTGACCACACTATCTCTTCATATGCCGAGGTCACAGAAACAAGTGAACTCTACTTCATTTGCCCCATACACCGTCAGGTTTGAAAGGGAAACTACTTTACGACATTGTTTAGATTTATGAAACCCTTTGTTTGTAGCAGTGGGATGATCCACGCGTTTCTTAGTTAAATAGATTTCTCTCATTCAATAAAAATCCACTAATCAATAAAACGGTCTTTTTTTCTTAATTACAACCAACTCAATCAGACCGAAGTGTCTATGCCACAATTTAATTGATTATAATAAAGAAATCAATAGCAATGTAAAATTCAAGGGAGATAACCAAATTATTATCACATTTAAACTTTATTACCATAGTTCCGTCCCCTGGATGGTAAACATTTAAAGCTCTGCGGACCCTTTCTCACATAATGTAGGACGTAAGTTAAGACAAAGAGCTATTTCAAGAGTTTGGTATAATTTTATTTTCACAAAGCTTGGCATAAACATCTGCAGATGTTTTCAATTTCAATTCTGGAGTGTGTCACTATGCCAAGCTTGTTTGGCAAAAACAATCCAGATACACTAGTCAAACTTAATTTAAAAAAAAAAAAAAAACAATGGTTTACACAAGATTATGATGGAATGCAATGTTACAACAAACAATGGTACATAGGTTAGGGTAAATACTGTCAGTGACCTGGACTTATACTGCCTACAATACAGGTGAAAGTTTACTTCAAACAAGGGATGCAACCAAAATTCAGTAAACAACCAAGGTGTAATTTCTTTCTTCTAAAGCTATGAAGTTCAGCACCATAAGATATTAGGTAATTACAACCATACACCAAAAAGTATGATACTTGCATACCTGTAGCTTTTCTTATTGACAAAATCTTACACACATGAAAAGAGTTGCATTTATTAATTTAACAGCTGCAGACTGCTAGCCAGATATTCAAGAATGCTAAGGATAAGTTACACTTAACACAGTAGTACAGTGGTTCTTAACTTTTTTTTGGAGGTACTGAACCTCCCCAGTTTTATCTGCACATTCATCAAACCCATGTTAATAGTTCTATCGCCAGCACAGACAAACTTCTATCATGAATCATATGAGTCGGGTGTGTCTTGACCTCTGCTGAACGCTTGAGAATGATTTACTGAGCCCTTGTGCTTCAATTGAAACCCAAGTAAGATCCACTCCAGTAGTTCAATTTCTACCACAAACAATACTAGTAATCTAATGTACAACTGACCAGTAATTAAAAGTCTATGACCAGAGAAGTAGGCAGACTCATACACTAAAGAACCACATACAATATATTATTACATAATAACATGATATTCTGGTGTCTGTTCAAGATATAACATGTGTTATTGTAGTAAACATAAAGCAAATAGGTTTGCACTAGTTGAGGAAATACACTAGGATTAAAACAGAACACAGTGGTATAAAATTGCATTTAAATTTTGTTTTGGACATTGTTAGCTATATTTGATTAAATAATCTCTAAAAAAATGTAACTTAAGAGACATTATCTAAATACTGACTTTTCTAATTCTGAAATATTATGGGTTTTTTTTTTAAAACAAATTTCAACTTCTGGATAAATTTTATTTGCAAATACACCTCATCTTCACTTACTTTCAAAGTATAGTACAGTTTTTGCATTAAATTTATAACTTTTCAAAAACAAAGTTTTAGCCCTTTTAAAATGTGTCACATTCTCCTAATGTCATTAATTTCAACTTTCTGCTAAAACAAGCTCTAAACATAAGAAATATAGAATCATCTAATAGAAAGTATTTGCTTCTCCTGATGAAAGTAAGTATAGATATTTAATGCTTGACAAGTTTTGTACAACACTCTCAAATTGGTCCCATTTATCAAATTTCTACAAAAGTAAATGATTTAATTTAAATATATTGTACCAAACTATTTATAGACAGGATTAGGGAATATCAAACGGAAACAATTGTAAGAAGTTATCATAGAAAGAAACTCGAAAACCTAATTTAAAAAAAATTATAACAAACATGAGTTGGAATAATAACTATAAGATTAAAATGAAGATCTAAAACAATGTAGTAAATAAATGGGGTATTTTAATACGAGTATTAAATAAAATAAATTATTCTTCAATGACTTACAAGTAAGTAAACAAAAAAAAATTCATCAAAATTTTGATAGAATGAAAAATGAAAGTTCATTATCTTTAGTAAACATATGACTAAATATAACTTAAATAAACAGTTAAAATGGTTATACTATGTCATTCTTTACAAGAGATGGTTAACATAATCTAAAATTTCAAACATATTTCAATAATCTTCATAGCCAAGTAGTTGCTCAACACGGGTATGTTTGTATAGAATTTATCAAAGAAATTTTCACCACACATAAGATACACAATGTTTTAAAATATGTATTTAAAAATATTTCAACACAAGAATGACCCCCCCCCCCCTCTATCAACATTAAAGGATTGAAAGTACTTCAACACTAAGAATTTTAAAATTGTATGAATACAATTCATAAAAATCTTTAAAAAGTTGTGCTATATCTTTCATTCTTAGGCCAACAGTTAAAACAAAACCTCTGCAAGCTAGTACGCCTTATATTTATTCCTATCAAGGACCAACACACATTACAGATCAAGCAAGGCACGTCTCTGAATAAAATCACTTCCTTCCAACACATGAAAACATCAGCGAAAATAAAAAGTTTAAATATATTCAAACACAGGACAAGGTCTCTCCTGTTGTCACAATTATTAAAAAAATACTACAGGGACTAAAGCAGTACTCATCATGAGGGGTTGTAGCCATAGATGAAAGGTATTCCTGTGGGCACACGCTTCTGGTAGTCCAGGTAATCTTCTCCAAAAAAGTTGAGCAGGTAAATCTCCTCTTCGTGAATTCTTTCATTGAAAAACTTCCAAGACACAATGGTGTAGCCGATAAGACAGATTGGATTGCACAGCATAATCTGGTAGTTGGTGGAAAAAATGTATACAATTTATTAGTTTGATGTCGACCTATGGCACTGGAGGCGGAGTCTTCTTGAAGAACTGAAACCAACTGGGATGTCTTGGGAGATGGCAAAATTAAAAGCCAGGGATCGGAAGAAATGGAAGGAAATGGTGGAGGCCCTATGTTCCATAAGGAGCAAAGAGGACTAAGTCAAGTCAATCTATGGCGCAAAACAAGCTAGATTATAATACTTTATTATGTCGAGATTACGAACAAAGAAAATTTTAAAAATAATTTCTCTTAGTTTTTTTTTTAAATGATTATAATTACAACATCCTGAAAATGTTAATAAAATTGAATAAAAATGAAAAATGTGGCTGTGGGTATTTTACATAGATGAAAAAAAAGGCTGAAATATAACTTGCTAGAGACAAAGAGAGACCTCTGAGTTTAAGGAATGCATATCTAACAATGAGTCTTGTTTATAACTTTGGTTATGCTGAAATGATGAATTAGTTAATCAGCACTGGAAACATTTACAGCCTTGATTTTTTATTCTCCAACAAAGTTAAGATGTAAAAACACTTTGGAAAACTTTATCTGCTTTCTTTAAATAACTCAACAGAAAAAGTAATAAAATCAAGGGAAATTTCTTTAGAAAGAGGATTTTGTACTATGTAAGCTTAGACGACATCAACAGAATATTTTAAATAAATGAATTTTGGATTAAACACAGTGTCTCATCATACCTGAGTCCCAATGCTCCAGGCAAACCAACCAACATAACTCGGGTGACGGAACAAACGGTAGACCCCTCTAGTCACCAGGGTGTGACCGTCCTGCTTTGTGTGCTGTATGTGATGGTTGAAGTTGGTGCGGGCAGTGAACATGCTTGACTTGCGCAACATCTCACCCCCTATAGTCAGGGTAGCACCGAGCACACTCACCCACCAAAGCTCTTTCAGTTCTGTAACAAAGAAAAGCAAATGGTGGAAATAAAATCTAAATCGTATTATCTTTACATCACAGTTTCACAGCATGCCCAAGAGCTACAATATAAGTAACAAGTTACTCATTGATCAACCAGACTTGTATATCTAGGATTTATGATATATAATGATATTACATGTACTAGAACATATCCATAGAGTAGTAATATAACTTTATAAGTCATATATGAATATGTGGGTAGAGATAAAAAGGAAATTAGAATTATAACTCATGGACCAGTTAATTTAAAGCCTCTCATTAGTGATAATCTTTACCCAACCTAATATTTAGTTTACAAAACAATTAAACTAAAAATTCACCAAAATACTGTTAAGTATAAAATTATAAAGTCAAAATGTGAATTTCTTGCCAACCTATCAACATTTACAGCTGAGTACTATCAACCACCCGAGTTCTTTCTAGTTTACTCATTATATACTTTGATATAATATATTAGTATTAAAAAATATTCTAAACTAACCTGGAAACAGGTAGGATTCCAAAATGTATTCACAGCATGAGGCCACTGCTGCCAGTTTGTATTCCAGACTGTGGTCAAGTAAAAATGAATCCAGTGTTAAGGATGATGGGTTGGTCAAGGCTGTGGTTTCATATTCAGACCAGTGGAAGAAGGTTAAGGCCATTAGGTACCAGCCAAAGTGGCACCAGTGCCAGCTATATAAACTGATAAGAAAGCTGAGGCCAAATACAAAACCAAGGTTCCCAGCCCTCACTGATATCTGTTGAGTAAAAAAAACAATTATTGAAAAAATAATACAAAATTTAAACTTGATGATAGTCAAAATATTAGAAAAGAAACAATGAATACTGGAATTATATATATTTTTTTGGAATAGAAAAAAAATTGCTTCAGGAATGGAATTAAAATTCAGTTGTTGCTTTTTGATAAAACTAAATTTTAAAAATTAGGGGATTGATTGCAAAATAGCTAAATGTAGGCAATAATGTTGGGTGTGTAGGAAATTCACATATTTTTTCTGGCATTTTATTAGATGGTTAGTTGTTTACACCTAGTAAAACGGAAGAGTTTACCAGTTTGTGTTTGGTATATCTATTTTGAATTGCATTTTACCAGGGCAGTGAACATCATTCTTTATTTGTTGAGGTCATCTATTAAAGAGACAACATAGATGGGGGAGGGGTCATCCTAGATGGGGGAGGGGTCATGAATTCCAAATAAGTTTACAAATAAGAATTGGTCAGTTTCTCTGCAATTGAATTGCACATTTACCACTTTAATGTTTTTATTAGCAAATATTTAAACAAATTAAGCTTAGGCCTAATAATGATATTGAGGGGAGGGGTGTAAAAGTATAGCCTAATATCTCGTCGTATATAAACTCTATTTTGTTGGAAGAGATGCATAGGCATAACTGTACATTAGTTTACATAAACTCTGGCAACAAATGAAAATTCGGATGATTATAGATACCGGTGTCCGATAATAGACTCTTCCATAAAATAGGTGTGTTGATTTGTTAGTACTAAAAGTTAGTAGTATTGTAATCTCGACTAGTAGTTTGGTTAGAAATTAGGGTTAGGCGTATGGTAGGACCAGGGATTCAAAGGGATGACTCAAAATATCATCCTTGACATTAGCCAGCCATGTGTGTATTTAGTTAACTACCAGTAACCTTACACCCCCTTATCGGATTTATCGGACACCGGAATAAAAATTCTCCCAAAAATTCTCATCATTTTGGAACAAACTCACTAAAACAATTGTTACTGAATAGTTTCACAATAAAGTTTTGAGTAATTTTATCTGCTACAGAAAGCAAATATTACCCTATAAGAATCCCTTTGATGGACGTATACTGCAGAGAATGCTCCATTGCACACTAGGAAATGTATCATCAGGATTCCATGCCAAAAATCTTGCCACAAAAAACTTAAAAACGGAATAAAAGTAAATAAGACAGGGAAGAAAACGAGACTCGCTCCTGTTGCGAAACTAAGCAGTGCTATTCTTGCTTGTCGAATCATTTTTAATGTGAGACTTAAAAATTATTTATGCACAGAGTGACTTTGGCGTTGTTTACTTCATGTTGAATTTATTATTTTTAGCCACGGGTCCTAGCGACTTGATTCTAAATTAGGTGTAAGTAAGTGCGCAGCAGTTGGAAAACATTAGACAAGCAAAAACTAAAATTTGGAAGTGCACAAAACAAAACTAAATAGACCTATAATGTTTATTAATTAATTGGATTTTTTATTTATTTTTATTTTTGTTAGCTAGATTCTACTCGTTTTTATTTTATTTTTTTTAATCATAGAAATTGTAAAAATAATAAATTTATGTTTTCCTTGTTTTTTTTTCATTCAGTGGCCTATGCGAAAGCATAATTTTTCCATTCTTAGCTTTTTGAATTCGACACTAGACACAGGACCTCCAACGATTAACCCCCCCCCCCCCCCCCCGAATTTCTTCCCCGAATAACATTTACCATCTACCCCCTCCACCCCACCCCCCTTCTGAACGAAATTGAATTTATATATACATACTTTTACCAGTGTCCACCCATGCCCCCCTCCCCCACCCCGGAAAATTTCAATTCCCCCCCCCCCCCCCCCGAGAAATAAGTCTGGAAGAAACACTGCTCTCCCCTCCCCCTTCCCCGATCAACGGCAGGGGAGGCGGGGTTGATAGTTAATTGACACGGAGTGATGCCCTGTTCCAAACAAAATGTTTTCATTAAAACAAAACGCATGACATAAGTCGTGTTTTGGTAAACATTGATTTAATCAACCCATCCCGTGGTTAAACATTGAGTTAACCCACCCATCCCGTGGTTAAACATTGATTTAATCAACCCATCCCGTGGTTAAACATTGAGTTAACCCACCCATCCCGTGGTTAAACATTGATTTAATTAACCCGTTGTGTGGTTTGTTAAACAATAATTTAATCAAATTATCATGTGGTTAAACATTGATTTAATCAACCCATCATATGATTAGTTAAACATTGATTTAATCAATTCATTCTGTGGTTAAACATCGATTTAATCAACCCATCCTGTGATTAGTTAAACATTGATTGAATCAATTCATTCTGTGGTTCAACATTGTTTTAATCAATTCATTATGGGGTTCAACATTGATTTAATCAACCCAACTTGTGATTAACATTGATTTAAACAACCCATCCAGGCTTAGAGATGGACGGCTTTTCTGGTGGCTTGACGAAGTGGTCAGGCAGGGGCGTGCCCGGGTAGGGGTCGCACAGGTAGTGAGGCACGGTGGTCATACAGCAGCGCTTGTTGGGGTCGTAGGGGTCGCAGTTATCATCGTAGTTTTGCAGGGTCAGGGGGTGGTCCTTGGGCTTCAGGTAGGGCACGAGGTGGTAGACTTCAGGTGCTGTGAATGTAAGGTAAGATGTGGGGTTTAATGAATGTAAGGTAAGATGTGGGGATTAATGTACGAGATGGTAGACTTCAGGTGCTGTGAATGTAAGGTAAGATGTGGGGTTTAATGCACTAGATGTTAGACTTCAGGAACTGTGAATGTAAGATGTGGGGTTTAATGTACGAGATGGTAGACTTCAGGGGCTGTGAATGTAAGGTAAGATGTGGGGTTTAATGCACTAGATGTTAGACTTCAGGAACTGTGAATGTAAGATGTGGGGTTTAATGTACGAGATGGTAGACTTCAGGGGCTGTGAATGTAAGGTAAGATGTGGGGTTTAATGCACTAGATGTTAGACTTCAGGAACTGTGAATGTAAGATGTGGGGTTTAATGTACGAGATGGTAGACTTCAGGGGCTGTGAATGTAAGGTAAGATGTGGGGTTTAATGCACTAGATGTTAGACTTCAGGAACTGTGAATGTAAGATGTGGGGTTTAATGTACGAGATGGTAGACTTCAGGGGCTGTGAATGTAAGGTAAGATGTGGGGTTTAATGCACTAGATGTTAGACTTCAGGAACTGTGAATGTAAGATGTGGGGTTTAATGTACGAGATGGTAGACTTCAGGGGCTGTGAATGTAAGGTAAGATGTGGGGTTTAATGAATGTTAAGGTAAGATGTGGGGTTTAATGTACGAGATGGTAGACTGTTTATACACCTGTCCTCTACCTACCCTATCATAACACTTGTTTATACACCTGTCCTCTACCTACCCTATCATAACACCTGTCTAAGACACTCACCTGTCCTCTACTCACCCTATCATAACACCTGTATAAGACACCTGTCCTCTACTCACCCTATCATGACATCTGTCTAAAACACCTGTCCTCACCCTATCATAACACCTGTCTAAGACACTCACCTGCACCTGCAGACGCGAACCTATTTGGATGACGCCTGAGCTCTTTACCCATCCAGTAGCCAGGGAAATGATCTCGCTGAGTCGACTCTTTGGAATATTTTAACGAGTCCACAATCTTGGACTTCCTGGAACCGTAGTGCTTCTCCTTTTGGCTGGTGGTCCAGTTCGTTTCATCTGTGAGCGGAGGAATTCTATTCTAGTTATCGCTTTATGTCAGCATCGGGAACTTAAAATATTCACTACCCACCCCACGGAATAATACAGGGCATCACCGTATCATAAACCACGCAGTCAACCATATCACTAAAAAAATCTACCAGAGACCGCAAACCACCTAATCATAAACATACTGTAACCCTTACAATCACATGACTATAAACCCACATTGACATTTCACGGTAAACCATGTGAGATCTGTAAACCATGTGGCTATAAACCTACTGTGACATGCACCCTCCACTGTAAACCTACTGAGACCTGCAACTATAAACCTACTGAGACCTGCCACTATAAACCTACTGAGACCTGCCACTATAAACCTACTAATACCTGCCACTATAAACCTACCGAGACCTGCAACTATAAACCTACTGAGACCTGCCACTACAAACCTAATGAGACCTGCCACTATAAACCTACTAAGACCTGCCACTATAAACCTACTGAGACCTGCAACTATAAACCTACTGAGACCTGCAACTATAAACCTACTAAGACCTGCCACTATAAACCTACTAAGACCTCCCAGTGTAAACCCTATTATAACTGTAAATTACGTGGCCACAAACCTACTGTGACCTGCACACATTCTGACTATCACGTGACCATCACGTGACCATCACGTGACCATCACGTGACCACCACGTGACCATCACGTGACCATAAACCTACTGATTGCCTCCAGCATCTCCCCCATCCTCCTCTCCCTGTGGACGGGCGGCTCCTCTGGCACCACCAGCAGACGTTTCTGGAACAAATCAGAAAACTTGCCTGAAACTTTTTCATTCATCTCCAGATATCTTTTAAATAAATTGTGGTTAGCGTTTATATTCTTGTCAGTGTCGTAGCCAGGATCGTCTCAGGGGGGGGGGTTCCAATTTTTACCCGGGGACAAGCTTTCGATTTGCACCCCCCCCCCCCTCAAACTTTCGATTTGCACCCCACCCCCCTCATACTTTTTATATATATACCGAGGGGTCTATGGGGGGGAGGGGGTTATGACCCCCCTAACCCCCCCCCCCCCCCCGCCTACGCCACTGATTCTTGTTGCTGATGTAGAAGTCGTATACTTTTATAACTTAACTACAGACTGAAAACTGTTTTGTCTGGAAACATTTTTCGTTTAAACTTTTTAATTTTGGGATAGTTTTTTTTCTTTCTGTGATGGTTTTTGAAAGTGTTGGACAAATGATTATATTACTTTCAACTAGATATGACTTGCGTACGCACGTAACTTTGTAACATGACTTGGGTAATGGCTTTATTATAACCTACTATCGAGTAGATAGAGCTGATAAATGACTTTGTAACTTACTATCGAGTAGATGTGACTTGGACTTTGCTGTAATCTACCATCGAGTAAATATGACTTGAAAATGACTGCAACTTACTATAGGGTAGATATGACTCGGGTTAGGGCATGGCTGCGTAACTTACCATCGAATAGATAAACATATAAATGTCTTGGTAACTTATTATAGGAAAGATGTGACTTGAGCACATGACTTTGTAACTTACTATCTGGTATATATGACTTGTAAATGCGTTTGTAACTTACTGTAGGAAAGATGTGTTTTTGAGGACAAAACTTTGTAACTTACTATAGGAAAAATGTGACTTGAGTACATGACTTTGTAACTTACTATCGGGTAGATGTGACTTGTAAATTACTTTGTAACTTACTATAAGACAGATGTGACTTGAGGACATGACTTTGTAACTTACTATAGGAAAAATGTGACTTGAGTACATGACTTTGTAACTTACTATCGGGTAGATGTGACTCGGGTACGGGATCCCCTCTGGAACCCATGGCCTGGCGTTTCTAGCAGGTTCGGGGGTCCAACGCGGGCGCTGAAAGTAGTAGTGGGACAGCGGCTCCTGGTAGTGGGCGCCGTAGGTAGTTCGAGGGCGTTTCTCGCCCCGTGTGAAGCACTGCATGGCGACACGCCTATACATGAGGAACAAACAAAACTTTACACTAATTTATGAGTTAAACACTACCCTCACCAAATCAAATGTACGCGCATATAGATAGTTTGTTCAATCTTACTTTGGCTTGGATCTGTGTTAAATCTTTTGCAGCTGTAACTTACTATTCAGTAGGGTGTGAGGGTGAAGTTTATATATATATATATATATATATATATATATATATATATATATATATATATATATATATATATATATATATATATATCCCATCTTACACTCTCTTGAAACTAGAGCAGTGGTTCCTAACCTGGGTTCATTCGAACCACCGAGGTTCATTGAGTGAGTCTCAGGGGGTTCGGGGAGGTCAAGGCACACACCCGACTTTCACGATGCGCATATGAGACTGGTAAGGTTCTGTACCTCAAGAAAGGTTAAGAACCACTATAATAGAGACATCTTAGGTTCTTTTATGAACTCACAAGATCAGCACGTTAGCTTGACGATCAGATCAGTTAATGGTTGTATGTTATACCGTGTTTCTTCAAGACTTTTTTCTCCTGGGAGGGAGCACTTTATAGTTTTTAGGGAGGCGGAGTAAAATTTCCGGCGAGGCGGACACTGTTAAAAGTATATATTTTCTGTATAAATTGAATTTTGTTCGGGGGTGGTGGGCAAAGAAACCTACCGCCCCCCCCCCCCCCGCCAAGAGATGTCTGGAAGAAACTCTGGTTGTATAAAAGACGGTAACGTATACCAGTAGGTCTACCTAAGCGCTGGTCACAACTGCGCTTACCACGTTTTAGCGCAAGAATCTAACAGATCTGGAGTCTATAATCTAGATAAGAATCTAGATCTAGATCTAGATATTTAATTTTTTTTTACACTAGACCTGTCCTGATAATCGCATAAACTAAAATACCTCGCTAAGTCCAATGCTATCTATAATTCTAACTGTAGGCTGCTGAAAACTATTGTTAAGTAAACCATTGACTACAGTTCCTTAAAGGTAATACCCAAATCGAAAACGCTTGAATGTTTTACCTTCAGTGCAAACTACTCAACAAATTTGTTTACATGGGCGCCATTAATGTTTAGTGTTTACCTAGAAACCATACACTTTTGAGGACGTCATTAGAACGTGTGTATGGACTGAGTATGTAAAATAGTTTCGTTTTATTCTGATAAACATAAAAACATGAGTAAACAATAACTTTTCAACGAACTACGTTCTTCTAAACCTGGACTTACGAATGATTGTTAGGGTGTTTTTGTGAAATTTGATTTCTTTGCTAAAATCATAAAATCCATATTTTAGTGAAGAAAAACGGTGATATTTACAATAAAAAGGGGAAAAAAATACCACACGACTTTATTTAGTGAATAGTTTAAACCGCCACCCCAACATCCCCTGCCCATGCTACTAAAACTCCTTCAGATTTTGAAATTGGCTTGCTAGGATGTTTAGAAATACGTTTGTTACAAGTTTATTATCTTAACTGTAGACAACATAAAAATAATAAAATAAACATTTCTTTTTCATAAAATGATTGTGCATCACAGTAAAACCCAACCCGATTTTTAAAACTATAACTGCCGATAAAATAAATTATCGGCTGTACAAAAATATACTTTCTTTAAATGTTGAAAATAAAGATGCATAGTAAATGGTTATATCTTACTGACCCTAGCGTACCAAGAATAATTTAGACCTAGCGATTCGATACACAGATAAATCTATTTAAAGATTTTATTTGGTGTTTAAGATCTAGTGTGTTTACTCGTCTGTAATTGAAAATGTGTTCTTTTAGTTTTCCCACATATTGATTCGGTTTTCTTCAAACAAAAGCTGTTAAGTGTTTTATCAAATAGTGTCTAGTGTTATTCACACACACAACTTTAGAAAATGATACATTGCAGTGAGATTGCTGGGTGGGTATAGAACAGATGAACAATTCGCCATTCCACATTGAAGTTCTAATCTGTATGGACTTATTTTAATCTTTTTTGTTGCTCAATTTTCTGGACTTCACTGGAGCGGTTGTTGAAATAGCTGCAATTGGTAGAATATTGTTATATTAATTATTTTTTATTTATTTTATGGTATAAATTAATTGTATTTGAATATACTAAAGTCACAAACTAAACTAGGCTATAACCTATTTATATTCTGTTGAAGTGTATTCAACGGGAGAATTGCATGTTGTCATCACATTTTCTATTTTCTTACTCTTCAGAAACAGCAATGTTGGGCTATAGATGTATGCAGTACCTGCGCTTAATAGTGGTGTTGGCTGCATCTTTAAAGATAGTTAATGGACAACAAGGTATTTATACAATATACAAATATAAGGAAAAACATCTAAATGTTCGTTATTATTATGCATTTTTTACATAATCGACCATTAATACATATTCATATATGTTATTATACAGTTATAAGCATTTGCCATTTACACGAGAAAAATTGTGGATTTTCTGTACAATGATCAATACTTTGCTAGTATTGTGGCGCAAAATCTTTAATAAAGAGTTTTAAGCAAGTGGCTTATACTGTTGCCACTGTTATAGCTTATGCGTAGGATCTATCATTTGTTGTTAAACTATCCTATTTTAGATGTAGGCGTTAGGGTTATTAATCAATTATTAATTAATTTGTTTTTTGTTTTTTTTTAACGAAGGCGTCGGTGGTATTCAGTATGCAGAGCTAACTGTCCAATCCAACATATACACAACCACCATTACACTAGGATTCAAAAATGACTATAGGCTATTTGCCCTAGCCCTGCTGAACAACGTAGACTCCACCTCTTTATGTGCCCTCTACTGTACACAGTACACAACTTGTACAGCCTTCCTCACCTACTCAGCCAACCAGCTCTGTATCCTGTACAACACAACCCTGACTACCAGACTACCGGTTGGACTTAATTACTTCTTAAAAACTGGATAAGGATCTAATGTTATAGCTAATAATTATTTCGAAATTGCTCATATGTTTACTATTTATTAAAATATTATACATTCAATCAGATTCTTTTTCTTTTAATTTTACTATTGAACCAAAATATATATCCCCCTGATTTCTCTAAGCCCATTTATGTTTAGAAAAATAAAATATAATTTTTTAAAGCTTAATACAGTTTTTGTTGTTTATTTTATGTAATGGGAGAAATGTTGTCAGTTCTGTTTTATTTAGTTGGCTTTTAATACAAAGTTACGTCAGTAACATATTAACATTTTTTTAGTCAGTCTATAGTGTTAAAGTGCTGAGAAATTCGAATACGACAAGGCTGAAAACAAATTTGATGCTATACTGATTTACGTGTTTGAATTTTTATTAAACGGATAAACTTATTAACATTACATTTAAAACGTTTAAAATCAAAGCTTCAAATGATACTTTAAAAGTAAATTTCTTTTTTTAGCCTAGTAAATTTAAAATGTGTAATAAAGCTAAAATGAAATGTTGTATTTCGGTATCTAAACAATTAAGCACTGACTAAAGTATCGGACTAAATATCTTTTAGTGACGCAGACGATAACACTACACCCAATAACTGGACAGGTAACATCGATGACAGAACAAAGTAGCCTACCACGTGGGTTGATGGGATCTTTTAAAGTCATAACCCTATTGGCGTTCGACTTTTTTTTTTACTCTAACCTGTGCTAGATACGGTCATTAAAAGTACCCTGGACTTTTAATGAAACAGACCTGCCTTTGTTTCAACTTTCATTAAAGAACGTATTATTTTTTGTGTGAAAATCAATCAAGGAAAAAATGCACAGATGTAAAAATGCAGCGCCACACACTAACTTTAGTATAATCAAGAAGAAATACTTTAAAATAACACCATATTTAAAGAACAATATTTACCCATCTGTATAAAATGTTTTAGATAAAAAACATTGTCATTCTTTCTACAATGTTGCTCACAATGCTCATTCATTTCATATTAAAATTCATAGCATAACAGAAACGGTTCTGTTCAAACAGAGTGAACCTCCAGATATTGATTGTTGAGGCACGTTGTTCAGCAGTGAAGGCAGAGATCGTGTGGATGCTAGAGCCAGACTCTAACGTCTATCATGAGCTTACAGGGATAGCTAAGTGAGAGTACAAACCTAGCTAAATATTGCTGTAGTCAGCCATTCTCTTATTGTAGTCTCATTGTAGTGTAGGGAAGTAAACCTAATGACATTGTCGGATTTTCGTATAGGCTCCCAGACAAAGAATGTACTTTAAAAGCTTTTGAAAAGTATTGCCCCCATCTACATTTTTTAAAAGTTTACAGTGTTCGAAGATAAAAAAAACACCTTCTACTTCCGGAAACAAGAAAGCACTTTTGTGACACCGTTTACTTATATATGTATTCCTTCAGTGGTTCTGTGTTTGGCTCCTCGTGTTTCCTCTGTAGTACCGGAGTAACTTGCTACAAGAACTAATGTTAACACAATCAGTGTTAATGTTTGCACGTACTCATTACACCATCAGTGGTGAATAGAAGTGAGGAACGAGCTATAACAAGGAAACAATAACGGTGAACAATAGCAGCTAATAGTAGACTGGAATAAAAGACCTTTAATGACGCTTGACATAAAGACTTAGTCACAGTACGTCAATATTGACGAAAGGAACAGCCATACGCTTGGCTTAAGGATTCTAAGTGTGACGGAAGTGTTGAGCTATGATTGTATTTAAATACGACCTTTTTTCTCTGTGAATTCCTGCTTTTAACATTCGCCGGTTTACAAGTCTCATTCTGTTCTCTGGAAAACACCACAGCAGTTTCATAAGATTTGTCACCAGTTGTGTCATTTTATTAAACACCTAACATGGTTATATTGATGGTGCTGTTTCTAATGCTGACCAGTGGATGCTGGACTAACGGACAAACCTCCAATTGTAACGGTAACTACAACATATTCTCCTACCTTGATTAAAAGCCTCGGCATATTCTTTTTTTTTATTGGCAAGCATTTTCGGCATTTCATTTTTAAATTTCAATGAACTTTAGATCTATCAGTCAAACATTATTTGGAGATTTGTGCTATATTAAATTTCAGACAAACGAAGTACATTCAGACATATCAAAGAGTTGTAAAAGTCTCATAAATTAATTCATAAATACTTTATGTTAGCTGAAAAATTGTTTTTAATATGAAAGTATCATATTTGTATGCACAATTCTAACAACGTGTTTGATAAATTTACTTCGCTGAATATGTCAATAATTTTCAAGTTTCAATTTTTTTTAAAACTATGAATCTCATTGACTATCATTGTTTAATGAATTGTTATTCTAGATCCCGCATGTTCCAGTTCAGGTCCTGGTGGTATTGTGTATGAAGATGTACCTATCCAATCCAACATCTACACACTCACTAGTAAAACAGGTTTCAAAAATGACTACAAGTTCTTTGCCCTGGCCCTGCTCTACAACGTAGACTCCAACTCTCTATGTGCCCTCTACTGTACACAGTACACAACTTGTACAGCCTTCCTCACCTACTCCCTCAGCCAGCTTTGTATCCTGTACAACACAACCCTGGCTAACAGACTACCTCTGGGATTGTTGTACTACGCTAAAACTGGATAGGACGGCACAGTCAGAGCATTCAGCATGTCTCAACTGTTTCTCATAACACTTTTAACAATGAAACAGAAAACTTTATTTTTTTACCCTACATGCCTACACATAAACAGAGGAATATTTTTTTTCATCGAAACGATATGTAATACCATTAAACCGCACCAGTTTTTATTTTTTTTATTGTTTTTTTTTTGTTGTTGTTATTTATTTTCAATAAGACAAATTTGTTTATAGATAAAAAGAAAATTGTTTAAAAAAATATTAAAGGAGAGTGTAAAGAAATAAAGTTGTTTTATAAAGTGTATTTATCTGGAAATCAGCCGACTTAAGCTAACTGAAGATGCTGGCGGATAATTTATTTATTTTCTGGCTTAATTTCGTGATTGATTTTTTTTCTTTACTGATCTTTCCCTTTTTCACAACGCTTTACTCACTTTCGCGCACAAACCGTTTAAAACAAAACCCCTTAAAGCAGGTTTGTTTCTCTCTCTCTCTCTCTTTCTCTCTTTCAGAATA